AAATACTGAGAAGTACCCAAATAGAAAAACAGCTTCCTGATGTCCCCTAATTTATAATGGTTATCTTACTAAAGTCATTCTCTGATCTCATATTATATTACATTACTTGATTATGACCATGAACAAGTAATGGTAAGTGAAGATTGTTCATGTAAACTTAACTACTTATCCAAAGTATCCAATCGGAATGAAGTCGAATACCAAAGCAACTGACCAGAAAAATATGTAGCACAGTGACAAAAATGACCGAAATTCAATTTGTGCAGCTGCAAGATTGCAAACAAAGTGTCATTTTCTTGCTAACCTACTACTCAGTGAAGCTGAGACCGATGGTCAAAATTAATTCAATATCCATAGCTACAAATACATGAATAGTAAACACAGCATGAAGATTATTCGGCTTACAAAACTGAAAGGAAATTCATGAGCGAAGATGGATAATGGCTAAAAGTGGAATCCAGGACACATGTTTCATCCTATTTTGATGTACCTGCGTCCCAGAGTTAGCATCAACTCTGGGACTCAAACCAACAAACAGCCAAAAATAACTTCATCAACTGCAGTTTTGTACATCACTGTGGAAGACTCAAATAAACAATACAAAATGAATTTTAAAGAACATTTGTTTAAAATTTAAACAGATGAAAAGCTGTTGATAATCAGGAAGTTTAGGCTAATTCTTTTGGATAAATTGGATAAAAAAGGGCGGCCTGCTTGAGCATCTGGGCTACCTGTTCCTGCTATCTAGATATTTCAACAAGTTATCTATTTTTGTTTGTTTTAATATATCATTATGTTTATTAATCGCATAACCTATTCTGCTGCGTTTCTGAAAAGTGTACAACCTTTCGTTGTCAAAGTTACAAAAATCTCAATAAGAGACAATGTGGTTGCTGGCAATATACAACGAAAAGAATGCACATTATTCAGATGTTCATCTACTGAACTACTAACATCTAGCTGGCGATTACTTGATATTTATCGTCGGGACCGACCAAGAAGAAAGAAACGGAAACTTGTTGAAATACTTTACGTTGAGAATTCTATATTGAATAAAGCTGATAATAATAATAATAATAAAGATAAAATGAATATTTTCTCTCATGGATTAGCACGATATTTTATAGGTTATCAACTAACAGGAAGCTCATGAAAAAGAACTGAACGACAATTGCCGGTTATTTATAGTATCATAAAATGTACTATGAGGATAAGTTTATTTATTTATTTGAACTCATAAATATTGGTACAAAGGAGTACCGAATACATATACGACACACAAGTCATTTGATTTGTGTATGAACTGTGATATTACTCGCGTGCTGAGACCGAAACAGGTGGTTTTCTTAAGGGGACACATCCGGAACCTTCGACCTAACCGTCTGATCCACAAGGAGCAACATCAGGGGACTTAGTCGCATGGTAACCAGTCACCGAAATTTGGTTCATACACCATTTCTTCCCTCAGGATCTTGAATCTCATGTACACCATTGGTTTGGAATCAGGATTTTCTAACTCTTCTAGGTGGATCCACCGTGTATACCGACACGGTTGAAGCGTCGGACACTCTTTTTTCGTACTCCCAACTTCATAAACAACACCCCCGCTGTGAGAAGGCAGTGAGTAGTACTTCCGTGGCAGTGAATGTATACTCGTGATCATGCGACACCATTTGAAGAAGGGAGGAGGACTCTCCCCACTTTCGACCATACCAGAGCATTTAACAACAATGTGGATCAAAGACTGAACATTATTAAAGTCTTCTTTTTTTCTGATATATTCCCAAATTTTTTTCTGAACTATTCACATAATGTATTATTCAGAAAACTGAACAAAAACTTCATCAATCATTTAATAAACATGCTAACCAACATTGTTATCACTCATGAACAAATACAGATTTCCAGTTATATACTGGAAATTCTATTCATGATATAAATTATACATCTTAAATATCTTTTAAACAAACAATTATTAAACTATAATATTATCTCAATTAAAACAAGTAATCGATCAATACATAAATATATATCTATATATACTTTAATTCTAGACTTTTGAAATAATGAAAGTTATTTCTCAAGGTCACCCGCCATTCCATTTTATTGATTATTGGATATGACCTTAGCTCTCAAGGTTATATTTATCGCTTTTTTTAAAAAAGATGGTTTCGTTGTTGTTGTTGTTGTTGTTGTTTTATTGTGTTGATTACAACAGTAAAAAAAAAGAAATAAATAAATCATATTTCATTCATTGTATTTTATTTGTAGACAATTTCATTTTATAAATGGCGCCGAAATACTCATTAAAATATTGCTATTAATCATAATAATATCAAATATAGTTTAATCTTAAATTATTCATTATGATTAAAATACTTTTATAATGAATGAGAATACAAGTGAAGACAATTGTGAATGTATTTAATGACAAAAAAGCTATAGAATCTCTTTGGAAAATCTGAGTACTGTACAATAAAGAATTCATTTGCAAAAAGATCAATCAATTGTCTTAGACTTCATTGTTCTTTCATTTCCACATCAATCATTCTTTGTTCTTGTTCTCTTTTCTTCGATCTTCTTGACTTTCTGATGCTAGACATACCATTCCTGACTATTGTTATATACTATTTATGTCGATATAAGTAGCACATATCATACTAACTAGCATCTCAGTTCCAGCCTCGCATCAGTGTCCGCAGAACAGCCCACTTCCCCTTTCCTGGTAGGCAGCGACACCAAATGTACTGAACGAGAATACAAGTGAGGACAATCGAATGTGTTTGAACACGAAATTACAGAATCTCTTTGTAAAATTTGAAAGCCATACAGTGAATAATGAATTTGCAAAAATGTCAGTCAATTGTCTCAAACTCGACTGTTCCTTTTGCGAATACCAGTGAATCGTATCGCACTCCATTGTTCCTGCATTTTCACACCAATTACTTTCTGTTCCCGTTCGTTCCTCCTCGATAATCTTGACCTTCTGCTGCCAGACATTCTATTCCTGACTAGCGTAATATACTACTTACGTCGACTAAATTGGCACATACACCACACCAACTAGCACCTCAGTTCCAGGCTCGCATCGGTATCCGTAGAATAGCACCTTTCTCCCTCTTGGTTGGCTTTGACATCAAATGTAGTGAATGAGAATACACGTGAGGACAATCGAATGTATTTAAAGGCAAAAATTATAGAATCTCTTTGTAAAATCTAAGTGAACTATACAGTAAAAACTTCATTTGCAAAATATCAGTCAATTGTCTCACACTTCGTTTTTTTCTGCATTTTCATATTAATTACTTTCTGTTCGATCATCTTGCCAGACATTCTACTCGTGACTATATACTACTTATGTAGATATAATTAGCACACACCACACTTTCAGTATAAATATTGTACTAAAATGTAGTTAAAAAATTTTCAACTAGAAAATTATTAGGACTTTACATAATAATTCATTTACAAAACTTTAGAATTACTAAAAGGAGGCATTAGTTTATAGTTACCAACTTCTAGTTTTAATCACTTAAATAATGAACACAACAACTGGACTCAAAACTCTATCAAAATCATCCATCTGAGCTACAAATCTTCTTCATCATCTTGAAATCATATGAATTCAAAACGTTCAAGAATGAGAAATGAAAGATCTATGAGTGTGAAACTGAAAAATTTATGATATCAACTCATATCAATCCAAGATTCAATACAGTATACAATATAATTATCTGATTTTGTTACTGTTGGGGAGATACAGAAAATTCCTTGGAAAAAGCCAAGAAAGGCTATGAAAACACTGAGTAGCATATTATTCAATCAACGTCCAATAGATGTTTTGCCAGAAACATTAGTTACTATCTTACTTCTTGGGACAACTGAAATATTTATGTTTAATTCTGATTATATTAAAAATTGTGGAACCCATCTTGATTTTATCAGTTTGTTTATGAATAACATACAGAAATTGTTGAACATTTGGATGATGAATATTTAATCTAATTTCTTTTACGTGTTTGCTTTTTAATTCATCATTACCTAGCAACAATTTGAAGGGGAATACTTATGTTTAATTTGTAAAGTAAACACTGAATTATTTGTAGAAATGTTCCTATTTATTAAGCATATAATGAAATAAAATCTTGGAGAATTAAAAAAAAAGTTAATTGTTTTCTGCACTAACTTAAAGCAGACACATCATGTACATTGAATAATCATTAAGTAGTTACCGATGCAATGTTTAGTTAATCACCAGTACTGATCGAATAATACTGGTCAGTTATCAGTATTGTGGTGTGTGCTACTTATAGTATATGGTGTTAGTCGTGAACAGAAGGTCTGGTAGCAGAGAGACAAGAGGATCGAACAGTAAAGAATCGAAACAGAATGCAGTGCAAGAACAATGAATTCTGAGTCATTTTGAGACAATCGATGGACATTTTGCAAGTTAAGCATTTACTTTATGATTGTTAGATTTTATTAATAAGTCCTGTAATTTTGTGTTAAATATATACGATTGTCCCCACTGGTGTTCTGTTCACTACAGTATGATCTTTGTTCCAGATGATAAGCGATAACATGCAATTAGATGGTTAGAGAAAATTAGTAGGAATCATTAAATATTGGTTTGTTGACACTTGATCCTGGTCAACATGGCGTACCTACAATTTTAAATAAACCAATGCTTGCCGTTTGTATTGTAATCCAAGTCATTCAACTTTACAATATGAAATTTCACTCGGCAGCGATTGATCTTTTGTATGACAGATATCTATATTTATTTATCATATAGTGGTAACTAAAATCAGTCAGCAGAAAACTGAGTTTCATCGAAATTAGCAGTACATTAAATTGGTGAACGTCAACTATCATGAATCATAAATTCAGGGTTTCCAACCAATTACTTTCAATCATCTAATAATATATAACTATCATCTATTTCATTAAGGAGATAACGTCTTAATAATATTATATAGCTGATCCGTTCTCCTGTAATTATCATTATTTAACATTGTAAAGTACGCAAAATACTTCGGATCCGTTGGCCGGACACTGTTAGCAACAACCAACTGTGGGAAATAACAAACCAGATCCCAGCGGAGGAAGAAATTAGGAAGAAGCACTGGAAGTGGATAGGACACACATTGAGGAAAGCACTCAACTGCGTCACAAGACAAGCCCTCACACGGAATACTCGAGGCCAAAGGAAAATAGGAAGACCAAAAAACACATTACGCCCGGAAATGGAGATAGACATAAGAAAAATGAACAAGAATTGGATGGAACTAGAAAAGAAGGCCCAGGACAGAGTGGGTTGGAGAATGCTGGTTGGCGGCCTATGCTCCATTAGGAGTAACAGGTAAAGATATCATCACTCTGGTCAACTGACAAGGTAGCTTTTCACTATCTCTTTAATGGAAATACATATTACTTGTGACTTTCTTTTTTTTGTTCATAATTAGAACGTCTTATTTTGTTAACCTTGAAAAATTTAGAATTTCAAAAACTGAAAACAAGAGATTATGCAAAACTACGTGGATTCATTTCAAGTTTAGCTGTCAAAGGATCTCCATATCGATTATTTAGTCGAGGTAAGTTTTTGTTCTAGAAGATAAGAACCTTACCATAAGTTATTCAATTTTTGATTAGTTATAACCTTACGACAATTAATATACATATAGGGTGATTTTATACAAACTATATTACTTTCTGTGGTAAAGGTCATGAGTCAGTTGAAGCTAGACCACCATGGAAAACCTTGGAGCACTGGACGGCCGTTTCTTCCTATGGTGGGACTCTTAAGCAGTGCGCATCCACGACCTCGCCCCCTTCGAGTGGTTTAGTGGTTAAGTGCTCGCGCGCGAAACCAGTGGATCCTGGGTTCGAACCTCGATCAATCGAACCCCATTGAAATTAATATAATATCCACAAAACCTACCTGATATACTACTTTCTATTATTTAGTAGCATAAGTGTTACTACAAAATTAGTGTAGTCTCGAGTAATCATCATGTAAAATTAGTAGCACGAGAGAAAGAAGATCTAGTTCTATGTGACGATATTGTCTAGTTAGATAGTGATGGATTCTTGATTAAAACGCAATCAAAAAATTATACTTATTTATATCATCAGTTGATTGACCAGTGTCATTTTTTTCTCGTCATTTAGTTACGACAAAAATCTATCGAGCAAATTAAGATGTTCCTTTAAGTTTAACGTGGTGTGGACTATGCTTTGCTACTAACTGGTCGAAGTTAGTTACAAAGTGTAATAGATAGATTCGAATCCCAAATGTCCATGTTGATCGAAGGTACACATTGCGGATAAATAACGACTGGTACGAAACATAAGTTAACATCATACCGACTACCTTTCAGTGTATAACATGTATGTGATCATTACATGTGGATAACTCAACATGGACAAAGTACCGTCATATTATGAAGTTTATTTCGGCAGACGTTTTTCAGTTATAAATAAAATTTTGATTGAATCAAACTGATCACTGTTTAGTAAATAAAATTTATTATGAACAAAATATCTCAAATGAATAATATTAAATACTAAGTCATATTATGCCCTCAAATGACCTCGTACGGTCGAGGATGGATAGAGTTCACTCTCCAGATGCTCTCACATGGCCACGCGTATATAAACACTTCCATGGACGTCCGAATCACTCCCTTCTCACAGCACCGGTGTTGTTTACGAAATTGAGAGGACAAAAAGTGAATATCCGGTGCTTTAACCGGGTTGTTGGATACGGAGAGTCCACCTAGGACAGTTGGAAAACGCTGATTGCAAATCAACGGTGGGTATGGGTTCCAGGATCCTTATGGAACAAAAGGTGTATGAACTTGATGTTGGCCAACGGTTACCATGAGACTAAATCTTCATGATCAATTATCATAGTCAATCGTAAAATAAATGTTTATTCATTCATTGTCATATTTTGTTTGTCTAAAATAAATAACTTGATCGTATGATTCCTAATTTAAAACTGCTTTTTCTTATCTACTTTTTATGTATAAGGAAATAAACAGTCATTGATTACTGAGCCAGAGAAGAATAATATCGATGTATACGGCTTATTAAAAAAACATTGGACCACACTGTATTCAGCACATAGAATGACGTTGGTTGTGCAATCGAAAGGTAATTGTATACGAGGAGGACATATATATATTGTAGATACGAGAGAATTTTGTTTAGCAAAGGTATATAGTGACTGTTTCAAAAGCACTAATAAATATCAATATCTAGTCAATTAAACATGATTGCGAAAAACTAGATTAGTACTAGAGACTAGACGATCATTACTCAGTACTCGAAAATGTCAAACTCGATGAGGTAGTTTAGTGGAAATGGATCTGACTGTAACATGTAAGGACTCTTATTTAGATCAAATGATGAATAGCAGTTTACTTTACATGACAGCTAACTTGTTTATCTAGGGCTTCCAAACACCCGTCCTCCATCATCTTAGTAGAATATTCAGGGGTTAGGTCTAATCAGATTACATTCATTTTATTTCTAATCATAAATATTGCAATACAAAAACACATCATAGACTGTAAGTAGACCAAAAATAGCAATTTCGAATTGTTGAGTAAATGATTATGGCCTACAGAAGTTGAACATATCATTTGTTCAAAGATGAATCTCAAAGTACAGTTGATAAGCTGTGCCATCATTACTTAATGGTAGTAAATTAATTTTCTCCAATGCTTTTTTCCCTTCCTGTTAATATAACTATTCATTTCAATTTCAAAAGTAAACTTCTAATTTGTGAGAGTTTTCATGACAATCGTTTTCATTACAATTTGAACAAAATTACAATCAAGTAGTTGTGCAATGCACATTCTTATCCTACGACAATCATTCTGTGGTGATATTTTGGAAAACATGTTAACAGATAATATTCACAAACCCGAAGAATAGAACTAAAAATATATGTTCTAGGGAAGTGTCTAAGCTATTGTGCATAAAATAACCAGGTGTATTTATATAGTTCATTGATTGTTGAGCAGTATTACCAATGTCATATTTGTCTAATCGTTTAGTACTGACTAAAGTTTATTAGTCAAACTGCAATATAACCATCGGTCCAAATAAATCGACTTCTCATCCAATACGTTGAGAAGTTGAGTAGGTGAATGTATTCAAAAGGAAGTTATATTACACATAGGTTTCATGATATTTGGTACGCATCAGCATGAGGTATCTGTCATCTCGATGAAGATGATGTATCCTGTGGGATTCGAATCTATTCCATTCAGTTTCACAATCTGAGAGGAGTGCCAAATATCACGAATCGTAAGTCTAAAATTTTTTAATGACTACCTTTAACCACTTAACAATAATTTTATAACTTCGACTAGAGATACACTTGTTTGGCCGATTAATTACGAACAACATATGAATGGTAAAAACTAAGTTGGTACAAATTACGGAGGTGAAACTAAAATTTGTGAACGGCCTTTGAGCTAGGCTTAAGTGATCTTGAGAATGTTCACCTACTTACTAGGTTTAAATAAGGATTATAAATTAATATGAGGAATTATGAATAGGATTTAAAGTTGGACATTGAGGTTAAGAATTATGGTTAGGCTTTTCATCATGAACTGACATCAATTATAATGCCAATACGCTAGTTAGCTATATGGATACACAAATTTTGCGCAAAAATTCAATAGGTGCTAACCTAAAGCTGATTGGTTCGCCCATAAATTACAATTTCACCGTTACAGATTGTACAAACTATGCAATTAGTTACTGAAAATTATTAAAATAAACGCAGCTTATATTTTCTTTTATGAAAACATCTATGTAAGTAGTTCTGATTGTGATGCGCCGAAGATTTTTAATAGAAGGCAGTAGTTTACAGAAGCGTAAAGATTTTATGAATTGACATGGGATTGTCTGATTGTATTTACATATAAATCCTTTATACTTACAGATTCTTTGAACAAAATGGAGAGAATTGTTCGAGAGAACTTTTCGAATATACCTGCAAAGTTTGTAAATTTTTAACTATATTTGAGTAATCAATTTTTCAGTTTTTATTTATTCTTAAAGGAGTTAAATAAAATTATACCAGATAACTCTATCGTGATATTCCGATAGTTGTTACAACCTAGAATTATTGAAACAAACTAATATAAACGCTCTGAATTTACCTGATAATTAATACCAGATAATAGTTTTCACTCATAATATTCACTATCCATTAAAACAGCGAACAGGTGAAATAACTGTATATCATCCAATGTTCTATTGAATGTTGTGGAATTGATTTTGGTGGTCTCCTCTCAGATCAAGAACACGTGATTAAGTTGACTAGAACGTAAATATATTTCCACACCAACAGCCGACAACAGTCCGACACTATAGGACAACAATCAATCATAACAAGGATAGAAGAATATATAACTCATCTAACGCCTGTCAGGTTATCTATAAGTCTGGCTAAGTAAATAACCAATTGTTATCATTCTCATCCACACATCAGAGTCAAGCTGAGTCTGTTAGCGATTGATCAACAAAGTTCTATATCTCGATATTTGGGGTTATCTACGGGTTTGCAGTACTTGAGGAATTAGCAGCGATCGAGCTACTCCACTGCTACTGGTTTGATTGCGTAAACAACATTCCAACATTTGACCCCTAACACAGGCTGAAGATAAATTGTAAAAATACTTGGTCTTCGAGTTAAAACAACCAGTACACCTAGGTACATATAATAACGAAAACATGATAGATAATCAAACAGGTATTCAGTGAACTTAAAGCCATAGAAATCAATCATAAAAACGACAAAAGTCATGAAGAATGTTAAATTAATGGAAAAAGTCTCTTGCGGTTATAATTTCCTGTGAAAGTTTAGCATTGTTAATAAAATTTAAGTAACGTGTTTACACAAAGTGGATCACTTACCACTAGAAAGTATGATAAACAAGTTATTTTACCTTAAAATAAATAGATCATGAAAAGCAGCAGAGTTCAGGATGCATGCTTCATCCTATATACAATGAGCTAGCTAAGTTTACATGTAACCCGTTAGGGATTTTCACATTGAAACTTGAATATACTACCTGTCAATTCAGACAGAAGAATAATATACACTGAAATACTGAATCTAGTTATCCATCAATTCATTCAGGAGATATTATAATATTTATATAATAATTAGTAGTGGTTTGAATTATTCCTGAGTTAATATTTAAGACGGTTTTCTTAGCCAGTCTATTCTAAGACTTTTGACAAAATGGCCATACTAAAACAACTTGTACATGCTGCACTATGATTTGTCAGAATTCTGTCCCTACTATTACTAACGATAAAGTTCACTTGTTTACCAGTAATTTAATGTTCATTCTTAACAGTTTTACCAATAAGTGGTGATCGACATGATCACATTCATCAACTGCTGTTTCGTACAACTATAATCTAATGAGTTCTAGGTGCGAAACCTTAGATACTTTAAATTTGAATAGGTGATCATTATTATTAAGCTTTACATGTAAAGTTTAAACCAAAGATGGGTACATGAATCTGCAAATGGATTAGGATTATCTTAGCGTTTAATTTAGCACACAGAAAGCCAAGACTTTAATAATAACAAGTAAAGATGATGTAATGAAATAAACTTCTTGTAACCAGTGAGATTAGTAAACAGTGTTCTATCATTTAAATTTTATAATGATTAATTTTCAAGCAAGTGTATGAATGTGATCAACAATTAGATAAGTATTCATATAAAACCGGCTAATTCTGTGTGACGCGGCTATAGTTACTTAGATTATTATTATTATTACTATTATTATTAGTAGTAGTAGTAGCTTTACATTTTTGTACAATATAGAATTCGCAACAAAAAGTATTTCAACAAATTTAGGTTTCTTATTTCTTGATCGATCCTGATGATAAATATTGAGTGATCGCCAATTAGATGTTAGCGGTTTACGAATCGAAATCAGAATAATGTACATTCCTTTCAATATATACGGCTAGCAACCACAATGTCTCTGATTGTTCTCGTTCCTAACTTATACAGTAAAAGATCGTGAACTTTTCATAAACGTACCTGATTAGGTTGTGCAATTAATTGACATAATGATCTGTTGAAACAAATCAAAGACAGATAACTTGTCGAAATATATCTAGATGGGAGGAACAGCTGGATCAGATATTCAACCACGCCCCAATATATTTGTGAAACATCTTAGTAATGTGCTTTAAATGTTGAGTTTTTCCAGTCATTATGTAATTGCTTAAAGAACAGTATTATCTTTTTAAATATTTTGTTTTTCTATTACCTTTGAATGATAATAAATGTAAATGGTAATTTTTATCATTCATAGTCGATCAGTGAAAATAGATTTGACAAGATATAGAAACAGTTTTGATTCACCAGAATTCTTAAAATTATACCATGGTAAGTCAGTGTAATAATTATATATATACATCATAAATTCAATTATTAAATTACTAAAATCTCCACAAAACCTCCTTCTGATAATAATCATCATCTGCTAACTAGTGACTGGCTTCAAGAGGTATTTCCTAGAGTTCTATTGAGAAGCCGTGACTAGTGCAATTTAACCAGATGTTCTGGGAGATAGTAACTCACTGATGGCAATGGTAGATGGTGTCGCAATTTAACGGATTGGCTGAAGTTAGACATTAACACCGTTGGATGGCGACTCATTGATCTTGAGGCTAAGCGTTCGCGCACAAAATCGACAGGTTCTGGGTCCGGACCTCGTGGGGCGGGATCGTGGATGTGCACTGTTGAGTAGTACTAGGTCGAAACGGCCGTCCAGTGCTTCCATATTTCCATGGTAGTCTAGCTTTAATTGACTCATGAATCCAACTATTAAATTATTAAAATCCCCACAAAAATCCCTTCTGATGATATATATATACGTTAAATTACTTATCATTATGATGTTTACAGTATTTAGTAGATGTCAATTAAATGGAATTGTGAAAAAACTGTGCTACATTTGATTGTCTATCGAAATATACCAGAAAGTGTATGAGCTCGACTACATTTTGCAATTATAATGCTACATTTATTCAGCACCATATATCTGAATACAGTAAAGGATTCTTAGCATAATCATCACAAAATCCTAGTTATATAAGTACATAACTTGCTAATACACAATATATACATAATATATCTATTATACTTACTTACGCCTGTTATCCTTCGTGAAGGACCATAGGCTCCCCACCAGCGCTCTTCTTCCAACACTGTCCTGGACAATCCTTTCCAGTTCTTTCCAGTCGCTATACACACTTTCCATACCTACTCCCATTTACCGACGTAGTGTGTTCTTTGACCTTCGCTTTGCACGTGATGCAGTTTGGAGATCTCCGTAATGTATGTCTCATCCACTTCCAAAATCTCTTCCTAATTTTCTCTTCAGCTGGAAGTTGATTTGCTCTCTCCCACAGAATGGTGCTGCTGATGATACCCAGCCAACGGATTTTTAATATCTTGTATAGAAACAGCGATTATGAGCCATTAATTATTTTTTAGAACCATTCTTACCCTCATGATATTTCTTTCTATGTCCAAATATATTTGGTGTATAAATTGTGTAGTGATCAATCCTTGTTTCTCTAAATAAAAGATGAGAAGAATTTAAGAATCACATTGATGATACTTCTTCAGTTTCTTGGTAATCAGATTCGTAATAGGCTGCAAATGTTTTCTGAAGACCATTATGGAACAAGTTGGATTTTTAGTACTTAATTAGCACAAAGGGTTGAAAACTAGCTACATTTGGTTACTACATAATCTGTAAAACTTTTTAAGAGGACGGAATATGTTTTACAGAAAAAAATGTGTCTGAAATATGCAAATAGGTATTCATTAAACCTTTTTTGACAGATATTTGTATTACTTTTAGTCGTGAAACTATAGTTACGACTGTCAGGATGAGTTGTGGAGATTGTTCAATCATATTGAAATCACGAATCTATTTAATTTACAGAACCGTTAGAAACACGGAAGCACTGGGAGGTGCTCCGTCTTAGGTTGAAACTCATCACTAGTGCAAATCGACAACCGCACACCCAGGGTCGGATCCAGAACCCTCGAACATTTTAATCTCTAGACTATTGAATCGGGACTCAATGGTGTGATGGTGAAATCCACACTTACCAGTTTAAAACTACAAAGACGAATTTCATAGGATTACTAAAATTAAATAGTAGCAAGTTTCATCCAGTTTGAAACTTGTAATTTTAAACGCAACTCTACTTCAGTGTTGATGTTTACTATGGGATTCAAGCCCAATATTCATTATATAATGGTTACATATTGTGATACATCAGATAAAATTCGTTACACTTTAACTAAAAAATAATAATGATATTAATTGTAATTAAACTACCATTTTATCTTTCCTCCTTCATTTGACAAATATTTATCATTCAGTTGATAGTACTCGAAATAAGGAACAATTACGTATGGTTTGGGCTGTACCAAGTGTTTGTACATTGTATGAGTAAGTGTGAATTGTATATATATGTATGCTCTGGTTAATTTGTTTAAATGTTTAGATTTCTAGAAGAACATCAGTTCCTTTTGAAGATGACAAATACACCTTGTTAGTAAATGCCAATTCATATACAACGGAAAAACTGAATTCATTAGATTTAAACACCTTTTATTTTTATGTTTATGAATATGTAGTTATAGTTCAAGTGTACTATCGTACATGTTTGATCTGAAGGAGCATAATTCACTCTTATATTTACTACAATACTACAATTTACGATGAAATATTAACTAAGATGTGTGAGGACGGTTCACAGGTGAACTTGAGAAAGCTCCAGGAAGCTCAGAAAGTGCCAAAGATATTACATCTAATCATCTTTTAGAAGAATAACCCAGAATCCCTACATGTAGCTTCCCTATTGGACAAAAGCTAATAACCCTCTGTATGCGGATTGGAGGATTTTAATAATGATTTCGTTTTAACTAAAAACTATAAATACCTGAAAGTCCTGTACCATAAATGAAACTGTTTTGGAATAGCATTCCTTTCACTTGTCGTCTATCTTCTCACTCGTGACTTGGTGGGTCCTAGCGTTCGAGTGATCTAGTTTTACGCAGTATAATTAGAAACTAAGCTCTAGATATAATAACTGGCGGCAGGGTTAACTTATCAAGATGACACAGATTATCGTCATTTTTAGAATTTTTGGAGTTATTTATTAACTTCGTAATTCTAAATAATGTTATCCTCTTACTGATAAATATTGTTACTATCTTTCTGGACGTTTCATGTAACTGCAGGTACTCCTACACGTCAACTAGAATAATAGAGCGAAGGTGCGAATTGTGAATACAAGATTTACTTCAAAGTAATTTTCTAAACAGAAAAAACGCAGAGTATTCGTATAGTTATACTTGATCATAAGATTTGGGAAATTTCTGTCACCACAATAAATATGGTAGCAGTATATGTTAATATTCAATCAAAACCTTAACATATGATTCTGCATTTTCTGGATGTTTCTGAGAAGCTTCTATCCAATGGTGATTTCTTTCGGTGTTTTGACGAATGATACTCTGAGATTCCTTCAACAGATATCTTTCATCATTTACTAAGTCTATTAATTACTTGAAATTTAAGATCCTAATCTTTTAATTACTATCAAAGAACAATATGATTGAAGGTATATCTGAACTATACAATTTATATAGCGGAGGCTGATATTCGTATTCTGAACTTAACGGTCCAGGTTAGGTGAGAAGCTACTATACAAAGTGCTGATAATGGTACACAGTGGCATCAAGGCTTCTAGTACATATCATTAGTTTATGACAAGGACGGTAACGTATTTTTTCATTTTAATTCTGACCGATTAATGCAATGGTTAACATCTTTTAAGACTGTAATGTTATAGTAGTTACTGATCTATGAAAGACCGCTTTGTCCTTCTCAATAGTGTTTATCCATGATCCCACAATCTAGGGCTCTAACCTGAAATTTATAATATTCAGCTCAAATGCTTAACTTCTAGATCCATAATGAATTCATTCAATATAGATTTCATTTAATTTAAAAAAATGAATAAATTAACAAGTTATTTATTCTTCATGAAATACTTCAAGTACCTTGTTCAATGTGATTTTCATTTTAATAAAACAACAACAACAAAACACACACACACAAAAACCGAATAATTATTCATTCTACCATTTCATGACAAGAAAAACAAAAAAGAAACATACCACTTTGAAATGTTTCACTTCAATTTAATGATTTTCTTTTCATGTATTCCCATTTGATGTTTTGGAATAGATCTATGCCAAGTTCCATATACATATGTATATTTGCATATTTTTGTATTCTATCCATATAACTATTCATATAGTTACAAATTGACATTCATATATGCACATTCATGTATTCACTGTAAAATTTGGAACAATGTTTTTATGAATGAAAGAATGAATTCATTATTTTATAAGTTTGAATAGTTGAGATTATGAGTTCATTGAAGCTAGAATAGTATTGGAAAATCTGGAAATACTGGACTGTCATTTTATCTCATGATGGTCTAACTTCAATTGACTTATGATTACAACTATTGAAATTATTACAATCTTCATAAAACCTTTTCGGATATTTTAGAAGTTTCTGATTGAGATCATGAACCGATTGATGTTAGACCACCTTTGGAAACCTGGAAGCACTGGACGGCCGTTTCGTCCTATAGTGGGACTCCTCAGCAGTGCGCATTCATGATCCCGCTCGCGAGATTCGATTCATGATCTCAATTAAAAACTTAATAATCTCCACAACCCCTATACTAGTATTTTAGAAGTGTCAATATATTTATAGCTTATCTGTTTTATTCATTGAATATTGTTTAATTGGATCTTTCAATTCTTATTTACGATTATAATTGATTAGTCTCTTATTGGTATATGTACAACTTGTACTAATTGCCTCGATATAGGTTTTGAATCACAAGCATTCTAAAAAAAGATGGATAGTAGCTAGTGATAGAACCGAGGACACACGTTTTGTCCTAGTTGTGACTCCTCAACTGGATGTACCTGCATCTCGAAATTGATGTGTCACTCTGGGACTCGAACCCAATGCCATTCACTTCAAACGTCATCCACTTAGCAACTGAGTCATGATAGCCACTTACTTGTGTAATAGGGTGAAGTTTTAAATTCACTTGATGTTGTTTACTTATATCTAGCCATTATTATTTAGGATTAAAATGGATCAGTTTCTTGTTGATATGTGTGCAACTTGTGCGGATTGCTGCAACATTGCCTTAAGTCACAAACTATATAAGCAAAGATAACATATAAAATAGGAAACTACTTATTTGTAAATTATGGAATTTATGAGAAAATTCATAGATTATAATGTTCAATTCAATATAATAGAAAAGATCATATATAGTAAATTAATTGGCTTTCATTGTTACTAATCAACTTAGGTTCTTTCAACATCTTTGTTATTTAACTAAAATCGAAGACAGAAAATTGTTATAGCTTGTGAACCTGTGTGCCCTGTTTGTTGTATAACGCAACGATACCGCCAGTCAGAGAGCAGCGAACTATCGACCGGACCAGTGACGCATAAAACATGTGAGAGCAGCCTAGAGTCCTGATTGGCCCTGCTTCCTGCCTAGCTCAGCCAGTAAAGTCCAGAACACAAGTCTCAGCCTCTGAGATATGAATCATTGTGTTTCAAACATACTGAGTTTATATACCAACCAAACAGACCACAACGTATCAATAAAATATGAAACAGCATTTGTACAAGAATTAGCCAGATGTGGCTGTGAATGAGGGAGGCAGTGATTAATAGACAGGGAATAATTCAAGAATGGAAAATCGTACAATAACAGTTTATAGGTTAAAATAAAGTTTATGATAAGAGAGACATGAATATGAATAGTTTAGTTACATAACAATTATACGATAAAAATATACTCATAGTATTGGTCCATAAAAGGATCCCAAAAAACTACTATTCATTATTCTTATTGGGATATAACAAAAATCTCTACAGAATCTTAATAGAAGATCATCAGTTCGATTAAACATGGAATGGTCAGTTGGTAATAAAAGAAAACTAAAGTGATATCTAATTTCAAAGATTTTACAACATAAAAAGACATGTAGGTATTAACATTGTGAAAAATGAATATATTCACTTTGTAAAACTTCGTATTTTATTGGATTTGAGTTCATGTGTAAATGTGAATATTGGGATCTAACTACAACTACTTAATAAATTCAAAATAGGACAAAATGCACTTTCACTGTTAAATACTATCTGTCATTATCAAAGAATATACAGAGAACTGTTATATCTTATTTGAAACTCATCAACTAGATGTATTTACATTCCACAGTTGATGTTCACTCCGGGACTAAATTTCAAGAATAGTTTTTATTAACTGACAACTAACTAAACCATTTACATTCTTGTGTATGTCATCAAAACCTTATATGTTTATTATTTTAGATCAAATCCAGTTGCTGTGCTTGCATATTTTCTAAGTGATAAACATCCATATGGTCTTGAAAATTACCTTAAAAATAAGTAAGTGAATAATAACTAATTTAAATACATCTTTTTCACATTAAAGGTTAAACCCATACTTATTTACAATAAAGCTAGTATTTTTCCTGATATTGATGAGTTGTTGAATTACTTAAGTCAGTAATGAATGATTGATTTACGTGTACAATCACTTGCGCTGTGCTAGACACCAAGCCAACAAACACTTTACCGTCTTTCAACACAATTCATATTGGGAACACATAATTCACATGACTAGTTCGTGTATCAATCAATTATGACATCGAAATCACGAACCGATCAAAGTTAAAATATCAGTGAAAACCTAGAAGCACAGGGCGACCGTTTAGTCCTGATGTGGGACTACTCGGCAGTGCAGATCCATTATTCCGCTCATCAAAACCTAACTTAGGACGTTTGGTGTCGCTGGCAATCACCTGACCTCTATGCTACTGGACCGGCATCTAACAGTGTTAATGCCTAACCTCAATCAACTTACAATGTTGAACGGGCATATTGCATTGCCTCACACACAACATGGTTAAACTCTATTGGTCACGGCTTATCATTAGAATTTCGGAAGTTTCCTCTCGAAGGTAATCGCTAGTGAACACATGACAATTTTCAAAGATAGTTTTTACTCGTTTAAAACTGAATGATCTATTTACGTGTATAGATTTAAAAAAAGTACTCAAAATAATTATTAAAGAACATTAGATGGTGTATTAACTGTAAGTCATTGTGTTATCAGTCGAATAAGCTAAGTAGTTAAACTGTAAGAAATCACACATAGCAGGATGGTATAGGTTACTATGATGTAACCTTTTGAAGTAAACTTTCGTTTGAAATGTGTGATTTAGGTCTAAACATGCATAATTTACCAGTAGAAATATTTAATGTACCTTTGAAACTATCGTTCAACCAAAATCACTAGCTAATTTCCCCAAAAATATGGCTATCCAATATAGACATGGTTTCATTATTGTCGTGAACGAATACTCACCTGGGGAATACCAATTTATTGTTTACAACAAAATTAGGCTCTGTAAATAATGGAAACCATACATTAGATACTTCATTTACACATCTTCCATCAGTTGTGATTTACACGCTTCATGATTTTTCCAACTCTGTTTTCATTCTAATTCTTTTCATCTTTTGGTTCTTTTCAGTTTAATCTTCTCAATCTTCTTTTAACAAGCATTCCACTTACTATTAGTGTTACACGCTACGTATATTTATCAATATAAGTGGCATACTCCACACTTGTTGCCCTTTTAAACAGTCGCCCCTGAGGCTGCTCTGAGCTCCATGCTACTTTCTTCCCTACCACAGTCTGTGTCACTCTCCTCGTCAACGTTTCGAGTCTGCCGTTGCGCTCACCTTTGTAGCTCCGTCGACATGCCGTACCATCTAAATTCGATGTCCGCCCAGTAGCCGCACATCCCACTGATTCTCTTCATCTATAAAAACTGCTACAATCAACGCCCTCACGCCAGAGCACTCCATACTTATGTCTGTTGAAATAAGCATCATACACCACAATCGCAACTAACTTCGTTAAATATTTAAAAGTTTGAATAGCAGTCAGTATCAATATACGGAATAAATATGAGGGTCCACTTAATTTTCATATTGCTTATAGATTAACCGTCTAGTTTATTGTTTTTGTTTTGTAACAATATGGTCACTATAATTTAGTGGCAAGTGATCTGACTTGCGTAAACGAATAATCCATGAACATAAACTTACTTCTTGATTTCATATATTCCACTTCGGCTAACACGGTTTAAGCAACCGCAGTAAAAAGAAGCTGAATAGAATTAAGTTGGTCGAATTTACTTTAGCTACACTTTTACTCAGACTAACGTTAAGATGACAAAAAAAACGACGCGTCAACTTAGTGGTGTGGTTTTTGTTTCTTAGCAACTTCAACTGTAAATAAACCTATATGAAACTAGCTTAACAAAACAGTTTAGGTACAAACACTAAAACGGATTAGTGGAGGTTGTTAAATTTCATTGTTCGCATCACAGACCAATCAAATTTAGACAACCAGTTAAAACTAGGAATCACTAGACAGCTGTTTCGCCTTAGTATGGAACTGTTCAGCAGTACATAATTACGACCCAAGATGTGCAGGTCTCACGAAGAGTGTATAATCTTTAAAAAAACTGAGTCACCAAAACACTGTGAAGTTTCATACAATGACGAAGAAGCTTTCCAGTGCTCCCTGATTTTCAATAGTGATATAACTAAACTCAGTTCCTGGTGTAAATTATAACATAAAGTATGAGTTTAACAAAACATCAAGGTATGTGTTTTCTTAATAATATTATTCACATAAGCTACCGATATTAACAATTAATCATTTAGTAGACTCCAAATACTAAGCCAATTTTAAGTCAAAAGTAGAACATGTGACAGGCAAAATTAATTGTTTTCATGTATCAACGATGAAATGGCGCCGGTAGTTTTTGAAAGTATGTAAACGTATAATTAAGATGAACCAATATTTTTGAATTTCTTTGAGATCATTAATCGACCAATGATAAACCACCATTGAAAATCTGAAGGCCCTGGACAGCCATTTCGTCCTAATATGGGACTCCTTAGCACTTTGAATCCGCGATCTCCCGCGCGACCTCTTAACCCCTATACCACTAAGCCGTGTGAATAGTAACTGGCTTGGAGAGGGAATTCTTGGAGTTCTGATAAGAAGCCGTGACCAGTGAAGTCGAAGCGTGTCGGGTGTGAGGCAGTTACTCACCGAAGACACTAGAAGATTGTCGCGCGACCTCGTCAGGTGCCGACTTAGTTGTCTAAAGTTTAAGTACTCGTGCTGGCGAGACAGAAGGCTTTGGGTTCGAGTCCCTCTCTAGATGTGCACTGCTTAGCAGTTCAATACTTAGACGGAATGACTATCCAGTGCGTCCGGGGTTCCAATTGTGGTCTATTATTGGTCGGTTCACGATTTCAATGAAATTCAGTAATCTTGACAACCCTGAACTAAAGATCCTCTTTGATTCGATGAGCCACAAAAGTGTCATATTAATATCTACAACAAAAATTTATGGAAATGATGATGATTTATCAGTTGTATTATGAATAATTGAATTACTTTACATTGCCAACACAGTACATAACATCATAAAAAAGATATATTCCTCGGATTGGCATTTAACATTTTATTCATCAAAACGTGTTGAATTATGCCGAAGAATTCTTAACAGAAAGCATCCAATTTTACCGCAAATCCCACTCTCTTATACTCATTTAACTTTAAAATACTTAAAATAACGTAAATAGAAATGTTTCTTAACATTGATTATTACTTGCTATTTTTATTCATCTTCAAGGAATCTCTCCAGCACTTCTGTCATTCGAATAATAGAGCTACTACCTGAATTTCATTATAATTTCTTTTCATCGCATCAAAAGATAAAAGGAGAGGAATAGTGACAAAGTCATAGACACAAACAAATACTTACTTATCCCTCGTGTGGAAGCATAGGCTACCCACTAGCGTTCTCCATCCAACTTTGTCTTGAACAATCCTTTCCAGTTGTTATTCATCCTCTTGATATCTGCTTCTCAACCTGAATAAAAAGAAAAAAATAATCGTCAAGTGTTGGTTTTGACTCATCAAACGAACACATTGAAAATATAGAGGATTAATTTTAACCATATTGTGTATTATGTACATATCAGAAAGGTTGTAATTTCAGTGGTTGAGATCCTGAGTCAATTGAGGCTAGACCATCATGGGAAGCCTGGAGGAACTGGACGGCCGTTTCGTCCTATCAAGGGACTCCTCAGCAGTACGTATCCACGACCTCACCCTCCTGAGAGATTCAAACCCACGACCTACCTGTCTCGCGCATGAGCGCTTAGCCGCTAGACCACTGATCCAGCATCCAACTGTGTCAATGTATAACTTCAACTAATCCACGAAATTGAGCGAAACATCCACCAATGTTTTTAGTGAATTACTATCTCACAACAGACCCTGATGAATTCCACTGGTCACTGCTTCACACTAAAACTCCAGGAAACATCTCATGAAGCTAGTCACTAATGAGAATATCTTGATTCATATCAGAAGGGGGTTTTGTGAATATTATAGTAATTTCAATAGTTGACATCGTAAATCAATCATTATGTACATATTGTGTACATAATATAACAATAGATAAGCTTAACTATCAAATCAGTCTTTAATATCTCTATTTCTACAATTTAAACTTTACTATTATAACATTATTTTCATTGTTTTATTACTTTGTAATCCAATTTTATTCAATCATTAATAGTCATTTAGCTACAGAAGTAAAATGTGAATTTTCTGCAATGTCCGATTTTGATAATTCAACAATTTGTGCTTTAATTACCATTTGTATTGATTTAAATGGAACACGTCCTGATCTATTCAAAGTAAGTTTGTTTTTTTTGATGGAAAGTCTAGTTGTTATTCCACCAGAACAGTTGAAATATTAAGTGCTTGTACATTAAAAACATTAGATGTGGCATTATTGATTCCTTTGAAATAGCGTAGAGATCAGTGTGCTAAGGGTAATTTTAATTCAACTATATTTTATCCCAGTGTATTGTCAAGGATAAATGTGTTAAGGAATGACTTTTTGAATGGAGTTTTAAAGATTTTAAAAACGTAGTGGTTTCAAATATCATAAGTACTCAGTTATCAGCTCAATGAATAATATAGAATTTGAACATTGTTCAAAAGATGATGGTATTCGTCACAAGCTGACCAAAACTAAGGTATCCATGAAAACTGGAGTGCATTGTTAAGTTAAATGACGATTCATTACACAAACACCTGAAATATTTATGATTTATGGCAAATGAGTAACCACTAACTTACTGGATTCAGGTCTAGTGGTACCTATTTCCAACTTAAAGGAACCTGTGACAGGTGACTACTGTTTTGTATAAATGGCCCTTGAACGGGTTTTAAGTGCTTAGTTTTAATAAGCATAACTAGGGCAAAATAACTATCTAGTACTTCTCAATTCAGCTCATTCAGTGACAAATGCTTCATATGAGGTAAAATGATCTTCATAACTCATCGAACAATGTTAATTTATGTGATAATCCGTAAAGAATAGGGATCACGATGATTACATTGTAAAAGGCAATTACATTTCAGGTCAAGAATTGAAATAACCTCTTAATAGAGGTCCTATGAATAATCTATTGTGGTAATATAGTATAATATATTGCAGTATACGTAACTCTTTATAATTACCATTTCGATTTTGATCAAATACATGATTGCCTTTCTTGACGCAAAAATCGATACTAATAACTGGAAGTTCATATAAATTGTGAATATCCAAATGATGTATATATCGGATTATTAACCCTAATAATAATCAATATATATATACAAAAATAAGATGTATATTATTGCTTCATTTATTAATAATGTGGTGTGCCCTACTGATGTCGACAAATATACCTAATATGTATCATTAATCGAAAATGTAATACTTGAATGCAGAAATTTAGGATGATCAAACAAAAGAGAACAGGAATAATGAATGTTTGTTGTGGAAACGAAAGAATAATGAAGTCTGATATTTTATAAATGAAGTATTTACTATATGCTTCTTAGATTTTAGTAAGATGTTCTGTAGTTCCATGTTCAAATACCTTCGATTGTCCCTACTAATGTTCTCATTCACTACAGTAAACTAAGACTTTATCAACTAATGAATAAGTATTTTCAATGGTTAAGATCATGAGTCAGTTGAAGCTAAACCACCATGGAAAACCTGGAAGCACTGGACAGCCGTTTCGTCCTATTGTGGGACTCCTCAGCAGTGCGCATCCACACACTCGCCCGCGGGATTCGAACCCAGGACCGGTTCAGTTGTGAGGCAGTAACTCACTGACGACAATGGTGGATATTTCGCTCAATTTCGTGGATTGGTTGAAGTTAGACATTAGCACCGTTGGGTGCCTGCTCAGTGGTCTAGTTGGTTAAGAACCGATAGGTCCTGGGTTCGAATGTTGCGAGACGGGGTCGTGGATGCGCAATGCTGAGGAGTCCCACAATGGGACGAAACGGCTGTCCAGTACTTCCAGCTTTTCCATGATCATCTAACTTCAATTGACTTATAAAATCAAATATATATATATATATATATATATATATATATATATATATATATATATATATATATATATATTTGTAAAATTATTAAAATCTTTACATATCCCAACTTCACCCCTTCACATAATAATTTCTTATTTTGTTTAGATTACAAAAATTGTTTATGAATATTTACGATTTTTATCGAATAAAGCAAATGATGCATGTATAAATAAAAACTCTGAAGAATACATTCATAATACTACTACCAATAATAATAGTAGTAATAATACTGCTAATATTAAATCAACATTTGATTCATGTGTAAGAGATTTTCAATTAACTCAAAAAGAAACATTTCAATGTCGTACAATATTTGGACCACAAGAAACTGTTATATGGATTGCTACAATGTTACATCATACATTACCACAAGATGTACATTCAGCATATTTAATTATAAAGACACTTGATATTCAGGTAAGATTAATGATAATAAAGTACTATTAGGTAACATTAACTATTGAATAGTAAATATCCATAATCCTACCAGAGAATGAATTCAGTAAATGGAGTACTTTTAGTGAGTTCTCCTGTTACTCCTCGTGGTGGAGCATAGGTCGCCCATCAGCAGTCGTCATCCAACCCTGTCCTGAGCAATCCTTTTAAGCTGTTATTCATTCTGCTCGTATCTGTTTTTATTTCTCAACGTAATGTGTTCTTTAGCCTTTCTCTTCTCTGTTTCCCTTCAGAATTCCTAGTTATCTTTTAACTTGTAACATTATACAATAATTTTCCAGTATCATAAGTGATGTGTATAATTTTTTGATGATAAGGTTAAACTTTATCTGTTAGGGTTTCTTTTTAAGAACATGATTATCATGTGCAGTAATGCTCTATAGACAGATATTTGGTCTGAAGTAAGGTTCAATCAAGTCCCTTTGAAATGATGAAAAAAGTTAATATGACTTATTAACAAACTCAAAACAACTGAAATATTTATGTCATTTAGTGCAATAAGAGAATAAAATTACCTATCGAATAATTCACATCGAGTATTACTTACTCTCAACCTTTCTCTTTCTCCTGGTGATCGAATGGATCATGAAGACATCAACATCTGGGCGGAAGCACGAGATACGATTGACAGTAAGGATGAAGCTGCACTATCTAGACTCCGGCAATTCTACCGCACACGTAAAAGCAAATGCAGGAGAAGACAACCAGTGTAACAGCAGCCTCAGAATCCGTAGGTCTCAACATACACAGAGGTAAAAAACAAGATTCTCAAATACAGCATAACAAGTACCAATCGAATCACACTCGACGGAGAAGATTTGGAAAATGCAAAAACTTTCACATATCTGGGCAGCATCATTGATGAACGCGGTGAATCCGATGCAAATGTGAAGGCGCGGATCGGGAAAACAAGAGCGGTATATCGACAATTGAAGAATATCTGGAACTCAAAATAAATGTCAATCAACAACAAAGTCAGGATTTCCAATACAAATGTCAAAACAGTCCTACTGTATGTGGCGGAATCCTGGAGAACTACGAAAGCCATCATACACAAGATACAAGTGTTTATTAACAGTTGTCTATGCAAAATACTTCGGATCCGTTGGCCAGGCACTATCAATAACAACATATTTTGGGAGAGAACAAACCAGATCCCGGCGGATGAAGAAATCAGGAAGAAGTGCTGGAAGTTTATAGGACAAACATTAAGGAAAGCATTCACCTGCGTCACATGGCAAGTCCCCACATGGAGTCGTCAAGGCAAAGGATGAGAGGAAGATCAAAGAACACATTACTCCGATAAATGGGGGGAGATTTGAGAAGAATGAACAAAAATTGAATAGAACTAGAAAGGAAGATCCAGGACAGAGTGGGTTTGAGAATGCTGGTCGGTGGCCTATTCTCCATTGCGAGTAACAGGTGTAAGTAATATAATTAGTAAGTATTACCAGTTAACACAGTTGAGGTGAAAAAACATTTATGTTAATCGATGACAATTTGAAAGAATCAACTTCGATTAAAATTAGTTCTTATCAGCAACAGATAACAAAATCAAGCAGTCAATTATGTATTTTCACAATTGAATTCACGAGTTGATCTACGATAGACCATCATCGAAAACTCGGAAGCACTGGACACCCCTTTCGTTCTAGTATGGGACTTCTTAGCAGTGCCTGATTATGACTCCGTTCTCGGGGATCAGAGCCAAGACCTTGGATCTCGTGAACGAACGTCTAACCCCTAGATCATTGAGTCGGTCAGCACTCAACTGTGTTAATATCTAACTTCAGTACATCCATGATATAGATAAGTGTCTGACACCGAGTTCTAGTGAGAAGCCGTGGTTCAATTCATGTTGAGTCATGTCGTGGTCTAAAGATTAAGTATTCGTGCACGAGACCGAAGGTTCTGGCTTTGGTTCCCACTCGCGGAATCACAAGTACTTACTGTTAGAGAGTCACATACTAGAATGAAACGTCCATCCAGTGCTTCTGAGTTTTCACTGGTGGTCTAACCTAGATTGACTCGTGAATTCAACTGTGGAAATATTACAATCTCCACAAATTACCATATTATTAATTCTATATATACTTAGCTCACTTTCTCTAAACCCACTGTTAATGCATATGAATAGTTTATTCATATATATGGTGAATATACCATATATATATATATATATATATATACCATAGTTCATATTGTCACTTGATTCCATTTAATGATAATACTTATTATTATAATTTAGGTGTATTCAGAACTATTGGATACTTTATCAAAACAACAAGCTTGTTTAATTCACAGTTTCAAGTTAAATCCTACGATACATAGAAATATTCATGTTGAAAAATGGTACAATTTACAATATACACAAGAAGGTAAACATATGATTTATGTAGCATGGAATAATTTGATGATATATTGATATCTTTTTAACGGTATTGTGTAATACTGATGGTCTATAGTTTAAGGTATTGAAATTTAATGACTACAGTTCATCAATGTCTGTTTGATAAGTTGATTGATATCTTGACTCAGTAGCTTAATGAACAGCTTGTTAACATTTAAAGTAACAAGTAATGACTTGAAATTTCAGTATTGATGCCAACTCTGCAATATAGGCATATCTAGTTAATGAGTCCTAATTAGAACAAACATGAATTCTAGATTACTTTGTTAGCTATAACCTACTTAATCTAAAATACATGCGACTATATCGAAGCAATCCGAGCAGGATCCATTTATTCTAACTGAAACTGATTAAATATTAACAAGTGGATAATTCAAACATTTACCCATGATACATCATACTCGTTGAATGAATTGGCAGATATTTTAACTTAATAGCTCAGTAGATAATATGTTGGTGCTTGAATTGAAAGGTAATAAGTTTGAAGCCCCAACATAAACGTAAACATTGGTATGTAGGCAAATCCAGCTAATGAATCCTAAACAGAATGAAATGCTCCATCCTAGATCCCACTGTTAGCTAGACAGTCCATCTACTTTAAATTGTGAGTCATGACATTAGAATAAGAAACTGTTATGTTCCTTTTCGTATTCTTTTTGAAATTTTTTTTAATTTTTCAGAAGTGTCCACTAAACAAATAGGCTGTTTGAATAATCTACATGGAACAATTCCATTCTCACTTCCATTAAAAGTTAATGGAAATGGTATGTTTAAGCTATTTATGTAATTTTATCAATGATATAGACAACAACATAATTATGTCAGTGATCTATAATATTGATTTCTTTCTTTAATTATCAAGATCATTTAATCATATTGTATGAGGGAGTGATCATGGTCGTTAAATTAGTTGATCATAAATAGTTGATTTGGTATTCTGCAAATTATTCATTCATTAATGTCAAGTACTATTCAGTTTAATGTATATAAATTTGACTATTATGCAGTGTAACTACTTGGCTTTAGATGCCCTGGTACGGTTGAGGGTGGGAAGAGTCCATTCTCTAACTTCAAATACTCTCACATGACCACGCGTACACAACCACTTCTGTGTAAGTCCTACTCACTGCCTTCTCACAGCACTGGTGTTGCTTACGAAATTGAGAGGACAAAAAGCGGATATTCGGTTCTTTAACTGGGTTGTTGGAAACGGAGAGTCAACCTAGGACAGTTCAAAAACGCTGATTGCAAACCAACGGTGGGTGTGGGTTCCAGGATTTTTGTGGAAAAAAAGGCGCATGAACCTGTTGTTGGCCACCGGTTACCATGGAACTAAATCTTCTGAAGTTCCTACACCAACTTGTGGATCAGACGGTTATGTCGAAGGCTCCGGGTGTGGCTTTCTAAGAAAACAACCTGTTTCCGTCTGGGCACCCGGATAATATCACAGCCCTTACACATATGGGTGTTAAATAAATTCTTATCAATTGTCTGCATTTCATTGCTTCTGTAGTCTGACACACGGTTTTCATGTTTAAAGTATTAAAATAGTACCCAGTTTCAATAGGGTTGATATCCTTTCGGAGGATCAACAAGTCTCCATTGGCATTATTCTCCTGTGTTCTTATTTTATACTGTCAAAATTGCATTAGTTCCCCAGATATAATAAACTTAAAACAAAAATATGGTTTAAAATGGTTGAAAAATACATTTCAAACAAAGAAAATGTATTTCTCTGAATACTAACGCTTCATCATAACTTAACAGCATAATGCATAGTTTTAAATTTAAGTTTTAAAAAATCAGTTGACAACGGAACTGTATTTATTAATGATAATATTTACTATCAAAAGGGGCTCTTATGGAGATTTTGGTAATTTGTAATAGTTGAATTAAAGCCAGACCACCATGGAAAGCCTGGAAGCGCTGGATGACCATTTCGTCCTAGTATGAGACTCCGCAGCAGTGTGTGTCCACGATCCCGCCCCGCGAGATTCGAATAACCCCCTACCGATAGTAATCATCATCTGTTAACTAGTGACTGGTTTCAAGAGGAGTTCTAGTGAGAAGCCATAACCAACCGAGATCACCCAGTTCTGTTTTGAGATAGTAACTCACTGAAGACAATGGTTGACAGTGGCTAAATTTCGTGGATTGGTTGAAGTTAGACATTAACACAATTGGATGATGGCCGTCTCAGTGGTCTAGTGGCTAGGCGCTCGCGTGCCAGAATAATGAGTCCTGGGTTTCGAATTTTGCGAGGCGGGATCGTGGGTGCGCACTGCTGAGGAGTCCCACAATAAGACGAAACGGCCGTCCATTTCTTCCACGTCTTCCTTGGTGATCTAGCTTAGATCATCTGATGAATTCAACTATTAAAAGGAATAAAATCTTTTTTTCAAACTTATTGAAATACTAAATAATATATAGAAAATAAAGTGTTTTATGTTCTTTAATCCCATCCAATAAATTAGAACATACTTTTAATATCAAACTACCAATCAGCCATTAATGAAGAAAGAAAATTATTATTATGAGGGTAGCTGTGTTGTCATATGTTATGTTTATAATGTTTACTGTATATGTATATTTATACGGAACATATGGCCAATTAATTTTGGTAATTAAAGCATTCAGTTATTCATATTAGTCAACCTATACTTCTCTTCCACTTATTATATAACTTTGAAACCAGCTTTGCTCTGCATATCAAAAATAATAACTCGAATAGGAATTAAACTATATGACGTTTCTATTGATGTTTCTACTATTACTGCATTAGTAAACAAGAACACATGTAGGGACAACCTAATGTACCTGAATACAAAATTACAGAATCGACTAGTAAAATCTGTGGACCATGCAGTAAATGTTTCATTTGTCATTTCAATTGTTTAAAACTTCATTGTTCCTTTGTTTCCACGTTAATCACTCCTTGTTCTCGTTCTCGTTCTCTTCAATCTTCTTGACATTCAGCCCCCAAGTATTCCACTTTCCATTAGTGATACATACTACTCATATTTATTGACATCAGTACTAATACTAACAAGAATACTGATAATCACATACACCACAAGCCTAAAAATACTAAGGAATGTTATATATATCACATTTATATGTCACTAACATCTGGGAAATCTGATAGATAGTCAGTGATAAAAGATGTATCATTACATTTAATAGTTATCCAATTCATAGTTCATCATTTTAAAGAGGTTCATCTTACTGATTAAATTTATTTTGTTTTAGTGCATGAATATTTGACTTTATCATCAGAAAATGATATACAAGTAAGTTGTTTTCAGTGTAATTAATTTGTGAGGATTTTTGAAATTCATACCTGTTCTTATATAGATAACCATTACAAACGAGGAAGGATTGGAGAGCTGTTTTGTCCTAACTTGGGACTCTTTTGTAGTGAGTACGCATGACTCCACTGAGATATCTAGTTCAATACTTTAAGGTCTCACAGAGATCATTTGTTCTTTAGACTACCAAGTGAACAACCAGTGGTTTACATTGTTTGCTTCAATCAATTTACGATACTGTGCAATCAACTTCTAAGTTATTCATTTTACTACAGATAAATGTCCTTTTTCAGAAGGTATGAACCATTAACTTAATTTAATGATACTACGAATTCATAAAAGTCGTTTACAACTTCTTCTATTGCTCAATAGGCTAAGATTAGTTCATAATGTAAATCATGGAATCCAATAATCTACACAAAAGTCCCTCTACATGCAATCTTTTGCATAATACATATAATTTACAAATTTGTCGATACCTATTCTTTATGACAAGAAATAAAACATATTCCTTTTTTTAGACACCTATAAATCTAACGACAGAATTTAAAGGAACTGTCTTTGAAGATTATGGATCCCTATGGTACCAACAGCTGAATAATCAACTTAAAAATGAAGGTAAATATGTTGTTTGCTTGTTTGTTGTTGGTATTAAAATTAACTTGACACTTTTATCCATTAGCTTTTCTTCTTCCATACATATTACTTCAATTACTTATGACTGACTATCTAGTTGTAGTAGTGTTGTGTGTGCTACTGATGTTGACAGATGTAAGTAGTATTTATCAATGATCAAAAATAAAATGCCTGGCAATAGGAGGTTGAGAAGATCAAAGAGAATAGAATGAGAATAAAGGTTGGTTAGCATAGTAATGAAGGGATAATAAAGTCTGGAATAATTGATGGATATTTTATTAATCAAGTATTTACTGTATAGTTCTCAGATTTTATTAAGAAATTCTATAATTGTGTATTCAAGTACGCTTGATTGTCCCTATTTTTGTTCTCATTCACTGTAGTAGTGATACTACTAGTTGTAGTAGTGCTAGTTTCATTAGTAGTTAAAACAATAATAAATAAGCATTAAGTTAAACTCATGATTTCAACCAGTGAAATTTCTATAAAAAATCTCCACAAAGCCCATTCTGATAATAATAATCACCTGCTCACTAGTGACTGACTTCAGGAGACACTCCTGGAGTTCTAGTGAGAAGTCGTTACCAGTGGAGTTCAACCAGGTCTGTTGTGAGATAGGAACTCACTGAAGACAATGATGTACGGTGGTGCAACTTCGTGGATTGGTTGAAATTAGACAGTAACACCGTTGGATGCCGGCTGGCTCAGTGTTCTAGTTGGTTAAGCGCCTGGCGCGAGACTGATGGGTTCTGGGTTCGAATCTCGGGGGAGGGAGTTATCGAAGATGTGCACTGCTGAGGAGTCCCACACAAGGACGAAACGGCTGTCCAGTGCTTCCGGTTTTCCCATGATGGTCTAGCTTCAATTGACTCATGATTTCAACCAGTAAATTATAATCATAGTTTTTGCTAATGACTAATTATTGAGATATTTCCCAAGTGAAAATGATAATCTGTTGAGTGTAATAGTTACTTATCTTGTGATATTGTATGTGTATCCCATTTCACATTACACATCAACTGACGATGATAATGTGACTACGTAGACAAGAACTTATTCAGTAGTTTGTATCATGATTTCATGTTATATCTGAGAGTATAATTGTAATTTTAATAAGGTTCTAACCTAAGTCATTGAGTGTCTCACTTGGATATACAATTAAAAGACTAATCATAATCAAGTTCTAAGAGTTTCTATCAAGTGAATTCAGGTACATGAAATCTTAAACATTATGTCAATTAGTTTTCATCATTTAACTTGATTGTATTTAAAAAATGATATTACATAACATATGGATTAGTTTACACATATAACTAAGAAGCAGTGACCAGTGAGATAGTAACTCACTGATAAAAATGGTGGATGTGTAGCTCAATTTCGTGGATTAGTTGAAGTTAGACATTAACACAATTGGATGCCGGCCGTCTCAGTGGTCTAATGGCTAGGCGCTCACGCGCGAGACTGGTAGGTCGTGGATGCGTACTGCTGAGGAGTCCCTTGATAGGACGAAACGGCTGTCCAGTGCTTCCGGTTTTCCCATGATGGTCTAACCTCAATTGACTCATGATCTCAACCGTTGAAATATAACTGTTAGTATCTTTTATGTTCTATTTTGCTTGTAGCTTACATTTATGTGCAAATTTCAACGGGAATGGAACTCAACTACCCTTTAAAGTAAGTCAATTTCTTTTTTTACATTTTCGAAGTCACATAGAATTTGGTGCTGTGACATATTTAATTCACATAATACAGTTGATTTAATTTGCTCTTAATGTTGTTAGTTCATAGTCATTACAATTAATCGTATTATCTTTATTTGCAAAAATCATTTAGTGGAATACAATCTATTCAGTCCTCTCAGAATTTATGAGTTGAGGTTAGCAGTGTAATCCAGGATGAGCATTTCATGTTATTTGAGGCTTATTAACTGTGTGTAATGACATCCCAATAATAATATTCACATTGAAACTCGAATCCAATACCATCTACCTTAAGCGCTAATCAAATCTTCACTAATTTACTGAGTTCAATCAGATATACACAATTCAAATATACATACACTGACTGATTAAAATCCAATCGTAAACATCAATGACGGAACCTTTAGAACCGTTCTATCTGAAATTATGACTTCTATTTTTCTTGCATAATTACTAAATACTTAGATTACTGTCTTTGTATTTGCCAACATGTAAGCTTTTACGTGATGGATAAACTATTGTCATATGTTATACCTTGCTTCAGCAACTGCGGATATATAACTCAGTCCTTTCCATTTTACAGGATCATTACGTCCATACTGTAATTTTCTAATTATGTTGATGTGAGGTTAGATTCTTGCTGTATGAGTGAATCATAAACTTGTGTCTTAAAGTTTGTTGTCTACTTGCTGTAGCGTGTTCTGTCCTGACTTTCAGACAAGCGAGCATCTTCTAAAGCAGTCGTCGTTGAGTTTTCATATCAGCTGTTACCTCACTCTCATCGTATCATTAGTTATTGTAATGAAGGAGAACGCAGGTGAGGACAACCGATTATATGTAGTACAAATTACAGAATTACTTGGTAAAATAGAAAAACCATACACTAATACTTAATTTGCAAAATACTCATTAATTGTACCAGACTTCATTGTTCCTGCATTTCCAAACCAACTGCTTTCTATTCTTGTTCTTCCCTTCTTTATCTTCTCAATGTTCTGCTGTCAGACATTTAATTCTTGATTCGCGTTATATCCTACTCATTTCAATATAAGTAGCACACAACACAGTTAGCAAAAGGACATTGATACTAAATAAACAATCTAGGTGAATTAATCAATACTCAGACTAAATCAATACAAATGCTCTTCTGTAATTGTGATCTTATCACCCGTGGTACAATCTTATAACAAAAATCTATTTTATCCTGTTATATCGATTTGTAAACAGATTGGCTTCAATATTTCGTACTTAATCATATCGAATCACAATATCCATGGATCATTATAATCGTATTAAATATTCTTTTTCCAACATTTCATCAACTAGTTTGGTTTTTTCAACATAAAACTCGTACATTTAGTTAATGCCTGAAGTATTTGTTTTCCTAATGGAACTATAAATGACCTTCTGTAAGAGAAAATTAGATGTATTTACTTGCATTTTAAATGATTGAAAATAACCTCTAGTTTCGTAAATTGATATCTTTAAGGTTCAGAAAATTCTGCTGAACATATCAGGAGGTTGACATATAAAATATATCAGTATGGGGTTGTGGAGATTGTTGAGTTTAGATTGATATATTGAATGGGTCAGTATTAGAACAACAGTGGAAATGTGGAATGACTGGAGGATCGTTTCATCCCAGTAAAGGACTCCTCACTAGGGCGTATCCATGATTCTGAACTAAGGGGATTGAAACCTTGGACCTTCGGTCTCTCACGAGAATGCTTAATCTCTAAACCACTGAGCCGACATATAACTTCAACCAATCCAGGATATTACGTGACCGTCCAACATTCTATTCAGTGAGTAACTGCTTCACATCAGACACGGCTGAACACCAATGGTTACGGAAGTTACTAAGAAATCTACTTCAAAAAAAGTTACATACCAAAAGTATGCCTTCAAGTTTTGACTACTTTAAGATCACTAAACATGTAGTTACGTTCTAATGTATCTAAGACGGAGGTAAATTAAGTTTATAAAACATCCGAAGACAAAGATTCACAGAAAAAGTCATCAGAATAAGCTGACTCAGCCCTTGTGGACTAAATAAATATCTCACTTTTACATATGTTCGTGATGCTACGCAGAAAAATAACGAGATCTCTGCAATTAAATCGTACAGGTCAGAGAGAACAGCACAACTACAGAAACTTGGGTAGTTGCTGCATCGTAGATTGCTTATTAAGGACTGGTCCTAATATGGATCTATCGTGGACGATATGAATCATGAAGTCAACCAAATCATAAGCAAACTAAATGATTGCATTAAACAACATCTCACTATACTCTAAATCAGTTTAATTTATAATGCTGGCTAAAAAAATGAATTGTGAACTTGAAACTTTCTAGCTGTTGATGCTTCTTTTTAAGTAGTAAATATTACCTTTAAACTTAATAAAAATTTCTAAAAATAAAACTGTTGAAACCAATAATAATCTTGATATTGTTTGCCTGAATCTTCCCATTGATGTTTAAGACTGAAATTGGTTAGTCTGTTATTGGTTTATGAGCATGCTGTACGTATTGCCTTGATATCGCCTTAATTCACAAACTTTGTAAACAAAGATAGATAGTGGACAGCAGAGTAATTCAGAACGCGCGTTTAGTCCTATTTGGGACCCTTTTGCTACTGAGTCCTGATAGCCACTTGCTTGCGCAATGAGTGGATAACGTGATGGAGTTTGAAGTGAATGGTACTAGGTTCGGGTCACAGAGTGAACATCAACACTGAGATGCAGGTACATCCAGCTGACGAGTCGCCAATAGAACGAAACGTGCATCCTGGATTCCACTGCTAGCCACTCTCCACCTTTGCAACAATAATGTTTATTTTTAAGTCGGTCGATGAAAATTAAGAAAAACTATACACCCTATTCATGAGGTTTATTTCTTTTATTCTAATGGTATCTATAGTGATCTTAATTAATCATTATGTACTAAATCATTCCTGTATATAAATATTCTAAGTGATCTATCTATCAAATACTTTTTTTATTTCTTGATCTTTTCATGTTATACTTTTTACTTCACAGAGCATGTTTATCTCGCTTATTACAGTTAAGCATCAAACTTCGATCCTCCAATTGTAAATTATTAACAATGGAATCTAGAATGAAGTAAGTTTACGAAAAATCTAACTCGTTTATGAAATTGTGAACAGTTAAAAAAGAAGAGTTTTCATAAGGAAGTCTTCTTCCTTTATAAGAGTGATTCTTCAAGTAAAAACACTTGATGTAATTGGTTCCCTTTATAAATCTGAATAAAGCAAGAACAACGATTGAGGCTGAATGGTTCGCTGTTTCTCATCGGCTACTTACATCCATATATGTTGAATTTATGAGTTGATCTAAGCTAGACTACCATTGAAAACCTGGAATCACTAGAAGGCCACTTCTTCCCACTATGGGACTCCTCAGCAGTGAGCATCCACGATCCCATACACGGGAATCAAATTCAGGACCTTCAGTTCAGCGTATGAACATCTAGCCTTTAGACCACTGAGTCGGTCATCATTCAACGGTTAATGTCTAACTTCAGTCGATCCATGATCATGCACAACACTTCATCGATTGTCTGATGTGAGTGACTGTCTCACACCCGACATGGATTGGACTCCACTCGTCACGTCTTCTCAGCTGTTAAAATTATTACAATCTCCACAAATCCCTATTCTGATAAGCATATATGTAAACGGAATATACTCATTAAGACGTTAAATAAAAAGGATTAGTTCAGCAAAGAGTTCTCTTTTTGGTTAATTCATTTTCATAGCTGTACAATCGCAAATATGCATATAAATATCACTGTACATCAGGGTAAAGCCTGGTAAGGATCTAATCAAAAACAACATTGTTCGATTAAATGTGTTGTTCTAGTTCACAATAAGGAAATTTTTCAAGTTAATGTGTGTATCAAGTGAATATGCAACCACTGTTCTTGTTGAAATAAATTAAACTCATTTATTTTATTCGTAGGTAGTGTTTTTCACAGATTGAACTCCTTTGGAATACGAATGGAAAAAACCAAGGAGTACCGAACAACATTTTCTCCTTAGTATGTGCATTCAGGATCCTAGTGAGGATCACACCCTAGATAAAAAGGTCCAATAGTGAGTACTTCACCATTAGAACCACCACTTCAAGGTGTTCTTGAAGTTTTAATGAGAATTCGTTGACTGGCTAGGTTAAAATATGCAAATCGTGGGACATTTGTTGAGAGTGATCTTGGACCACTACCATGTTTTACTGACTTTCAATAGTACTCCAAATGAGGTCAGTTTGTGATGAACACTATCTACAAATCAAACACATCCCCACAAACCCCTTCCAATAAACAACTGTTTAAGTCAGGTAGATAGACTAAAAGATGCTGTCTTATTATGTTTCGTCTTACTTAGACTCCAGATTTTTTAGGTGAGTCGTTCATTTGCGTCTTACTTCTATAATAGCACTCAAGACTATTCATCATTACAGGTTGACGTCAGCCTAAAGGCTTTTAAAAAATGTTGAACCATTTTGGAGCTATCTTATCCTTTTTCTTGGCATTTCCCGACAGTGCAGATTAATAATTCCTATACTCATCAAGGCTTTGACCTGAGAGTATGATAATTTTAAACTGAGTCATAAACCGATCGTCAATATTCTATCCTAACCTTAGAAAATTTGGTGATATAATGCATTAATAATCCATAGGTTTCCTATCTTAATTACCTTCACATGATTATAAATGACTGACTTTAAGTTGAACTTACAAAGCTCTTTTAAAATGAAGTGGCTTATGGCGTTCACTAAGGTGGGATGTAAAACCTAAACTAGTGTTGGACTTTACTTTGAGACCCGAAACCAGTATCTTTCTTTTCAAACCCACTATGGATTATCCATCAAGCTAGTGAGTTTGAATAGTTTTTGATGGAGTTTTTGTTCTCTGAGCTGGATGTTTTGGTCGTAGATCTTTCATTATTCTTCTGAACGACACCATCAGCACAAACTTTAGATAGAAGTAAAGTGTTCAAATTTCTCCACATTTGGTTCATAGCTTGTTCTGTACACCTCGAAGTTGATTGATACTTGTTGACCTTAAACCTGTCATTATTTAGATAGTCGTTAGCTAGCGCAATGGATATGAACTATTTTGACAATTTCGTGACTGATGTTCATGGCGAATCACTTTTTTTTCAAATCGAACATCTTTCAATCTCAGAAATTAATTAGATTGATTTAATTACCTATTTGATTGTCTTAATTTACTTTTAAAAGAAGTTCAGTGAATACAAATGTAAATGGACCGGAATTTATTATTAAAGGACCATCTGAAAAAATTTCGGTAAGTATTATGATTCAGTTTTTTTATTTTTTAAACTGTTTAAACATTAAAAACTTGTTAAAGACTTGTCTGTTGTGAGATAGTAACTCACTGAAGATAATAGTAGATGTGTCGCTCAGTTTCGTGGACTGGTTGAAGTTAGACAATAACACCGTTGGATGAGAGCTCAGTGGTCTAGAGGTTAAGCATTAGCGCGCGAGACAGAAGGCTCTGAGTTTGAATCCCGCGTGTGGTATCGTGGATGCGTACTACTGAAGAGTCTCACGGTCGTCCAGTGCTTCCAGGTTTTCCATGGTGGTCTAACACCAATCAGTTCATGAGTTCAATCAAAAATTTGTAATTTAACAGATCCGAATAGAGGATTTCTGATATGATTTGATTAGTATATCATTAAATTCTCATAACAATATATGATAGTTAGAGTATCAACATTAGAAGTGTGACTAAATAAACATGAAATAAGTATATTTCTTTTATAATTGATCATTGCATCTTTAAAGCATTTTATGCAAAACATTATTGAAAACAAACACAAAGTACTGAATGATTAGCATTAGATAGTACCTAGATGATCACAGTCATACTCTCACATTGAATAGAACAAATGGTTTTCAACACTCTCAGTAATCATAATACCGTTCGATGGCATAATCTTGTGTAAGGATATATGGGGAGTCTGAAATTCAACGAGGCAGCTGTCGTAAGCTATCTGGTTTTTAATGACTTTCTGTTATAACAATGAATTTGAATGATAAATCGTGTCATACTTAAACTCAGTAATCCGACGATTCGATGCAGAACCAGATGTATTTATCAACACAAAGGTACAAGGGCTGAAGTACAGATATCATGATATAATTAGTTATGTGCAATATATCTGTCTGAACTCCTTGAATAAGTCATATTCTGGTTGGACATATTAATCTTCAGTTTTTATCACTTGATGAAGAAAATTATCTTTGAGTACCTAATGAAGTCTTAACCATGACGTTTTTTCATTTCCTCACATTACAAGCTTTCGGACCCGATTAGGTTGATAAGAAAGATTTTTATTACTGATAAGAATCGGTGGAGAAAATTTGTAGACCGTAGAGTATCATATATCTGTTTCCTCCAACACTTAGACTGTAAAACATTGCACACTAACGATTATATACATACCGAACTCATGGCTTTAAGATCTTGCAATTAACTTAATACTCACAGGCCACAAAATCGACCTACCATTATTGATATAAGGGAGTAGTGAAGATAAAATTAATTTTAGCTATACAATTAATCAAAACCAAGAAGCACTGAATAGCTGGTTTGTTCTAGTGTAACATTATTGACAGTCAAAATCAGAACCTTTAGATCTATCGATATGTGTTTTAACTTCAGATCACTTTGTTGTCATCTAACTTTCATCATCTTGTGATTTACCTTTATTTAACTTTAAGAAATTCATTATATAGACAAATTCAATAACTAAATAACATCGTTATTCATATCTAGCTTGTTATCAACAGAATTGATAATGATAACTTGACGACAAAACTTCATAACTTTCCCTCTATAAAAAATCGACTAAAATTTCTAGAAAAATCCTTTCCTGTTATGGTGAGAATTACGCTCTTAACCTCTATTACATACTACTGATATCGGTCCGCATAAGTAGAGGACACCATCCGTTCATTTTTTTAATAGTTCATATAGAGTTTTATTATGACAATGTTATATTCTGGTCGTCGCTAATTGCTGTGCCGGAAAAACAAAAACGCTGATCACTTATATTCGGAACGAGGAACCACGGCAATTCCCGCGATGCGAAAGTAAGAACACAAGACTGGTATAAGTGAAGATTTATTAGCCCCAAACACTATGACAACGACGAATCAAAATAGTTTAAAATACACTGGTTTATATATTGATGGTACACCCATTTTGATTAATAATTAGGATTAAATCACATACTCAGTTATAACAGATCACTTACTGAGCATAGTTCATGTCAACTGAATACAAGAATATCGTATATTATACAGAAGAGAATATCATACTGGGAAAACAAATCAAATACTACACTAAATGATCGTCACGTTGAATCGAAACGGATATAATATTGAATAAAACATAATGAGTAATTCAATCGAAAATTGACTTTTCTTTCCATCATATAAAGCAATAATTAATCTACTGGGTATAAATCGGGTCCTAACACACCTCCCTTTTTTTGAAGATCCGGATTCTAAATTTTCCGGGTTCATCCTCCCCCACGAAACAGTGTTGGATCCTCATATGCCCAAGTTACAATTAATTTGAATTTATTTAAAATATATTTGACGCACTGAGCAGAGAATCGACTGAAAATGACTGAGTAGTGGGGCTGAACAACGCTTGACATGAGGTCATCGAAGTTTGATTCTTTAGAAATATTGTGATCAAATTTATTGGGAACATTACGAGTAGATAGTGGATCACTATGATGATCAGCGTTTAACAAAACTGCACCAGGTTCTTGATTATTATCTGATGCACATGACATATTTTCTGGCAAAACAGATAATTATTGCAGTATACACTATAATGACATATATATATATATTAACAAACCATATGATGATACAAATATATTCCAATCATTCATTGAAACTATAAAGACATGATATCTGAAAAGAAAATTAATCCAAAATATCAACGAATTATTGATTTTGTCTATGAATAGGTACATTTCATTGTCGATCTAATTGTAAAGATCCATCATCATATCAAGTGTATATAATCAATCATATTAGAACATTTATGCCAAAAACAAACAATAGATTATTAATTCATTATTGTATATATGTTGTCTTGTATTAAAAATGTAGTTTGCAGAAAAAAATCACTTTTATAGTTTGTTGTAGTACGATTTTTTCTTAGTAAAACGATGAGATCTAATATCGATTCAGTTTTATAGAATAGTACAAAGGATTTCTTTACTTACTTACTTACTTACTTACGTCTGTTACTCCCAAAGGAGCATTGACTGCTAACCAGCATTCTCCAACTCACTCTGTCCTGGGCCTTCCTTTCTAGTTCTATTCAATTGTTGTTCATTCTCCTCATGTCTCTTCCCATTTGTCGGAGTAATGTGTTCTTTGGTCTTCCTTTCATCCTTTGCCTTGACGATTCCATGTGAGGACTTGCCATGTGACCTTAAAGATTTCGCCAGGAGCCCCCATGGGGCTACTGCCGGTCCCAAGCCTGGATAAAAGAGGAGGGTCGAGCATGGGGTTAGGGACCTCGTCCCATAGAAATCTAACTCTCTAAAAAGTTGCTAACTGTCTACAACCTTGGTTTTTTTTAATGAACGATAAGAAAACAAGAAGAAAACCGCTAGTGGGTGAATATGAAAATACAACTCTTTATATACACTTTATTCTAACCAACATATAACAATAATGACAAAATTGTTGGATAGTTTACACTGATTGGTCTGATGAAGTCAATTACACTGTCTATTGAGGTCATCATCATGATCAAAGTTTGAAGTAAAGAAACTTCGACCTCACTGGTCATTAAGCTTAAATGTCGAGATCTTATTTAGGCAAAGCCTGAAAATAACTGAAAATATTGTTATGTGTGCTACTGATATCGACAGATAAAAGTAGTATGTATCATCGATTGAAAGTGAAATGACTGGAGGCAGACGGATAAGAAGATGAAAGAAAAGAGAACAAGAACAGAGAGTTATTCATATGGAAACGAAGGAACAACAAATTCTGAGACAATTGATTGACATTTTGCAAATGTAGTCTCTACTAAACAATCCTCAGATGATCTCTAATTTCGTATATAAAAACGTTCGATCGCCCCCACTTGTGTTCTCGTTCACACAATATAACCGCAACATTATCATAGACAGCATTCACTGAAACAGTTCATAATTATAAAGTTGCTTTAACAGTTAAATTATTCATATTTGGACTTCTACATCATGAGTTCAAAATCTTCAATATAATCTGTTAAAAAACAAAGTTTCCATACAAATTAAAATTGATTAGATCGTATCTGTGAAACATTAATAAATCGAAAATAAATACCTTACTGTAATTTACACATGTCTTACTTACCTACTTACGTCTGTTACTCACAATGGAGCAAAGGCCACCGACCAGTATTCTCAAACCCACTCTGTCCTGGACCTTCTTTTCTAGTTCTATTCAATTGTTGTTCATTCTTCTCATGTCTCTTCCCATTTGTCAGACTAATGTGTTCTTTGATCTTCCTCTCATCCTTTGCCTTGACGACTCCATGTGGGGACTTGCCATGTGACGCAGGTGAATGCTTTCCTTAATGTTTGTCCTATAAACTTCCAGCACTTCTTCCTGATTTCTTCCTTCACTGGGATCTGGTGTGTTCTCTCCCACAATAGATTGTTGCTGATAGTGCCTGGTCAACGGATCCGAAGTATTTTGCATAGACATCTGTTAATAAACACTTGTATCTTGTGTATGATGGCTTTCGTAGTTCTCCAGGATTCCGCCACATACAGTTAAACTGTTTTGACATTTGTATTGAAAATCCTGACTTTGTTGTTGATTGACAGTTATTTTGAGTTCCAGATATTCTTCAATTGTCGATATACCGCTCTTGTTTTCCCGATCCGCGCCTTCACATTTGCATCGGATTCACCGTGTTCATCAATGATGCTGCCCAGATATGAGAAACGTTTTGCGTTTTCCAAATCTTCTCCATCAAGTGTGATTCAAATGATACTTGTTATGTTGTATCCAAGAGTCTTGCTTTCCCCTTTGTTTAACCAATATCTAAGGTTACTATTGAATAATTAGCCTTGAAGTTGGCCAGGGGAAAAGAATTGATTGAAGATATTTCTTTTGTACCCATAGTCCCAGTTTCTTCAAATATTCTTTTAAATATTTCAATAATCAATAATTTCTTTGTTTCAGTGTTTATTTAAAAAGATAAATTTCTTTCATTTTCAGTATTACTATAAAGAATTTTTAAAGAGTGTAATTGATGATATAACTAAAGAACATTTTATACAATGTAAAACATTATTAATTGAAGAATTAAATAATCAATTATCTGATCCAAATTTAGTTGCTAAGTAAGTACAAATTTTTTTTGGGTAAAACACCATTTTGTATCTTATGATCAATTTCATAATAATTTCATAATATTATTTATTACTGATCAAATTGCTTTGTTGGGTCTTTGAAAATTACTTCATGTATGAAGGACAGTTGATAGATACATTCCATGTAAGGACCGATGTCAGACAAGGCTGCCTACTTTCTATATTCCTCTTTCTTCTGGTGATTGGTTGGATTACGATGACCTTGGCATCTCAAGGGAAGCATGGAATACAATAGACAGGTTGAATGCAATCAGACAATTTGAACTTTGCTGATGATCTAACCTTTCTCTGTCCTACACACGATCAAATGCAGATAAAGACAACTAGCGTAATAGCAACAGCTTCTGAATCAGTAGGCCTCAGTATACACAATAGAAAATGCAAGATCCTCAAATACAACATGAAGAACACGCTTGATGGATAAATTTTGGAAAAGGTGGAAAAGTTCATGTACCTGGGAAGGATTATCGATGAGCAAAGAGGATCTGATGCAGACGTAAATGCAAGGATTGGCAAATCAAGGACAGCATTCCTACAGTTGAAGAATATATGAAACTCAGAACAACTGTCAACCAATATCAAAATGAGAATCTTCAATGCGAACATCAAGACAGTTTTAATGTACGGAGGTGAAACTTATAGAACTACCACGACCACTAGGAAAAGAGTAAAAGTATTTCTAAACAATTGTTTAAGCAAAATCCGGATACCATAACCAACAGCCTACTGTGGAAGATAACAAACCAGCTTCCAGTTGAGGAATAAATTAGGGAAAGACGTTGGCAATGGATAGGACACACATTGAGGAAATCATCAAATTGAATCACGAGTCAAGCCCTAATTTGGAATCATAAAGGGAAATGAAAAAGAGGAACTCCAAAGAACATACTACGTCTGGACTTGAAAGCAGACATGAATAATATGAATAACAACTGAAAAGGATTGTCCAGGGCAGAATTGGATGAAGAGTGCTAATGGGGCCTATTCTACTTCAGGTAGGGTAACAGATGCACGTAAGTAGTAAGTAAATTTGAAATTACTTCAATTACAAACCTTAACATTTAACGATATCATTGGCAATATATTGTGTGTATAATCAACGTTTATAAATAGCATCTCTAAAGTATTATGGTTTACAGTTGTTTAGTATACAAACTGACATACAAGATCTAATGGTTAGTTACAAAGTATTTACATTATACATATACATAATCTTCAGTCATATATTTTAATCCTTCAGTTTGTTCTGTATTCTGAGACATCTTGTCTGATCATCACATGTTCTGACAACGCTGTACTTACAATGTACTATAACTCTTCACTTCATCTGACAATTGTTGCAAATTCGATACCGCATTAGTTACAAATAGCCTTGTGACTGCCCCCAAATGCTGTGGTGAAGTCGAGGGTGGGGAGAGTGAGCTTTCCCTTTCCAAATGCTCTCACATGGCCACATGCATACAGCCACTGCCAGGGGAGTCCTACTCACTGCCTTCTCGTGGTGGGGGTGTTGTTTACTAAATTAAGAGGATGAAAGGCGAATATCCGGCGCTTTAACCGGGATGATGGATACGGAGAGTTCACCTAAGGGAGTTGGAAACCCTGATTCCGAACCAATGATGCACATAAGCCCCAGGATCCTGACGGAACATTTGGTGTGTGTACCTATTGTTGGCCACGAGACTGCATCTCCTGGTGTTGCTCCACTTCCTTTGGGACCAGACCTTTAAGTCGAAGGGTGTGACCCCCTAAGAAAACCACCTGCTTCGGTTTTGGGCACCCGTTCAGTATCCCATCCCTCACACAAATTGAATGATTTATGTGGTACATATCTATTCGGTGCCTCCTTGTACCATTGTTTATGTGTTTAAATAAACGACTAGTAAATAATCTTGTGACTAGAGTTCACTATATTATAACAGTTTTAAACCTAGAAAATTACAATTATGCTGTATAATTTACAAAATACATTTTATCTGTCTCTATCTCTATATTTTTAGTAATATAAATTCATGTTTATGGTATCCAAATGAATATATTGCCAGTAGTTTATTAAATTCATTAGAATACATTACAATAGCTGACTTAATGGCATTTCAAACTAAATATTTTTATCAAATGGAAATTATCATGTATATTGTTGGTGATGTAACATGTAATGTAAGTAAATCAGTTATATGTATTGAATTGTAATATAAGTAGTATAATACATAATTTTCATTAAATGTTTTGCCCATTGATTGATGGCAAATTTTGTCAGTTCGCTCAGATACATTTATCTCGATAAATTAAGTTCTATATATGCTAATTATGAGAAACATTTAGATGGTGGTTGGAGGTAGTCAACAGGAAACCCTGGCCGCGGGTCGGTAGCAGCCCGGATAGCCCAGTGGTAACGTCTCTAACTGTGAAGCTGGGTGATATGGGATCGAATCCGTCAGAGACCATCAGTTCCCTCAAGATTACAGGTACACCTTGCTGACGAGCGCCAAGAAACACGAAACCCCAGTTCAGGGTTTCCTGTTAACTACCTCCAACCACCATCTTACCTCAACATAGGGCACGCAATGTCGGGTCACCTAGACTAGTGGCCACATCGCAACTTGATCGATAGCATTTGATCTGCACTAAGAAGGACTTGACACACAAGACATTGATCACCACCCATTGATACATATCATCATTCCTCGTATATAATTATCGACTTAGATAGCGTTAGTGAATAACAGAATTAAACAAGTCGAATACGAGAATGGATTTCCGAATCGTTGATCTGAATGGACAATCAGAGAGACGTAGCAAAGGAAGCGAAGAAGAGAGAGTGAAACGACACTCAGTGGAGTTACAGACATGTAATGAATGGGATAATAAGTGTACACGCATACGCTTACACAAAAACAGTCAAGGTTGATAAGTGAATGAATAGATTGATCTGTCTGAAAGCTAGAATAAGGTTTATGTGCTTAACATAATAAGTGACACTACAAAAAAAGTTGGCAATTTGAAATGAATACAATCTTCATTTCTTTCAAGCTAAACATTTTACCAAAAATATATATGAAATTGGGCTGTTAGTTTACATTAATCTGAAGAAACTGTTGTTCATATTGTTCGAACGCTTCAAAATTACACCATCTAGCTCACTGAACACAACACTAACAACTTTCATGTATCTGAACTCAAAATCTTTCTTAATATTTCAAAACCCTATGAAATTAACCTATCTTCGTATATGTGTGCAGAATCAAATAGCTTGACATCAGTTTACAATCTATTTTTCTGGATGGTACTTAGTAGTCAATAAGAATACTAAAGACGTCATTTTATGTATCACTCATTAGTATTACCTGGTCTGTTGTCAGATAGTAACTCATTGATGACAATAGTGAATGTGTAGCTCAATTTCGTGGATTAGTTGAAGTTAGATTCAGTTGTTTAGTGGTTAAGCGCTCGCGCGCGAGATTGATAGGTTCTTGGGTACGGTTCTCGCGAGGCAAGGTCGGGGTGCGCACTTCTGAGAAGTCCCACAATAGGATGAAACGGCCGTTCAGTGCTTCCGGGTTTTCCATGGCGGTCCAACTTCACTTGACTCATGATCTCAACTATTGAAATTATTGCACATCACTTAAAAGGTCATTTCCAATATCCAGGATCATGTCACTCATTTTATAATTCAAATATAAAACTAGAAGATATCAGATGAATTTATTTGATGAATATAAATAAACAGAATATGCTGTCCTAACTGCTGCCTTTAGAGAGTAAACATTTAAATCACATATATTCACCACTGATCCCAATGCCGTAAGATAACAATATTTCCAAATTCAGTCTAAGATATATACTCATTACTGTTTGCGTTACGGAAGACTGTAGAAATGACCAGGATCAAGAAAACAATGTTGAGGTTTCCTTGGTGTTAGTGTTAATTTCTTATTTGAAGTTATGTAAATATTTGATTAGAACATATATACTACCTGTTAGTTGATTCAGTACTATAAGTATCATACTAACACTACCGTGATTTTACTCTGTTTTAGCTGGCAAAGGATTTATTTACCTACACAATAGGATTTTTCAAGTGTCACCCAAAACCTAAAGAGATTCAACACGTAAGTTGTTCGGTTTATAACAACATTTTATGGTTAGGAATATATACTACTGAATATTATCTTCAGATAGATAAGTAATAGAAATTTGAGTTAGTTTGTTTGGACCTATTCATAAATAAGCTTTCATAACCACAAATAATGTTAGACACAAAGTTTTCAGTATAGATATGACTGTAAGCAGCTGTTGGGAAATCATATAATATAACGTAGTCATATTACTCTGCATCAGTGTTTAATCTGGCTCTATTAAATATCATAAAAAAGGGAACTAATTGCACAAATATCTTTCAGGTATTTCGGTGTTTAAAGATAATTTGAAAACATGAAATTAGTATCAGATGCTCTAAATTTCTCAATTTCATCAGCTAGTAATGTTAAAAGACGGTTATCCAATGTCTTTGCTAAAATCAGTCTTCCAGAATGATTGAAGTCCATCAGTCACAATTTATTTATGAAAGTTTGATAATCCGATGCCGAACTATTGCCTAATGAGTAAGGGTTGACTTTCTAATGTATCATTCGTGAAAGAACCTATCTTTAAATTGAATTCAAATAAATAACGACATGGTATCTATGATACAACGATCCGACAATACCGTTGATGATATCTGCATTGTTTTCGTATAAATGAATATAAAGTATCTTCTTAGAACCCTCTAATGTCACCTAATCAATGTTATCTTGTAAACTGTTATATTCAGACGAAGAATAAATGGATGATAGCTACTAGGATCTATTTATCCACTGTTACTATATACATATATATTCTTATTACACGTATATTCAGATTCCTTTTATTATAACCTCACATTTGACCTATTGACGATTCTGATACAATTTACTATTCTTCAGTTATGCCCAGTTTATTAGTTACAGTCTCTCACAATCAAAAACACTTTCTGACTTGATTTTGTACAAATATCGTCTTCTATTTTATGGTATGATAAGGTCTGATTTACTTGTATATGAACTACGTATGTCTGAAATACATAATTAATATAACGGAGACTGATATTAGTGTTCTGAACTGAACCGGTTTGATTAGACGAGAAGTTACTATCTCGTCAGAGGAGCAATAATAACTCAGAGTTGACTATGGGCTGCTTTGTGGGCTGGTTTATACGTCTGTGATCTGTACACCAATTCGATGTTCTCATTGGCGACTTTTATCACGTGCTATATACTCTGGGCATAAGGACATGATATAAACCATCTTTAAGCTGCATAATCCTCCATATGCCTCTACAATTTGGAATGAAATACCATTCGAAATTTATCTTTAATAGTATAATATGTCATAGAGAATTGTTATAGATCCCAAGAAATAAATATAAACTATTTCGTTTAATAGTTGATTTCATGAGTCAATTAAAGCTAGACCACCATGTAAAACCTGGAAGAACTAAATGACCGTTTCGTCCAAGTATGGGACTCCTCAGCAGTGAGCATCCACGATCCCGCTCACGGGAAGGTAGAGCAACTTCGTCGATTGGTTGAAGTTAGATATTTGAACGCTTTATTAGTTTCCTAAGCTATTCTGGTAACCCGCAAGCTAGAACTACGCAGAGGCCTGAACTCGACAGAAAAGGCGCAAATTAAGCGAAAAACACTTTACTTCAAAGGTTCATTTTTATACAGAAAAACACCTGTATTTATAGATTATTAGCATTTGTCAAATCAACATAATATTTTGACCAATCCGCTAAGTGACATATTATGCTACTGACCAATAGTAGCATGCCACGTTAATATTCTAGAAAGCTCCTTCATGCTCTGATTGACTGAAACTCTTCGGCTCCTTTAGGGCCACTGGAGGCTCCATTGTAGTTCTCGGAAGACGACTCAACAGATATCAACACCTTTGGATGCCAGTTCATTCGTCTAGGGGTGAAGCGTTTGCTCACTAGACCGATAGGTCCCGGTTTTGAGTCACACGAGCGGGATCAGGAATAAGTGCTGCTGAAGAGTCCCATGCTTGAACGAAATGGCCGTTCAGTGCATCCACGTTTCTATGGTGGCCTAGCTTTACTTGATTCATGAATCCAACTATTAAATTACTAAGATCTCCACAAAATCCCTTTCTGTTAAACTATTTATTTTCAGATTAAAATCTTGAATTTAATTATATTATTTGTCAAAAACAAGTCTGTAGAAAAATAATTGAAAGATATAATTTCAAATTTGATATAATTCACTGATAATAGACTTATTACTACTGAAGTAACTATTTCTATGTATTTGGTGTTCATCTTATTGTACCAATGAGGCATGGCAACTTCGACCGACGCATATACATGTTTGGTGCTACGTTGTAGATGACTGGTTGAATTAACTATATCGGAATTAAAGCTAATTGGGTTTAAATATAATTCAATGGACTGAGATGGTTTAACTAGGTCATAGACTTGATGAATTTCTATTAATAATGGTATTGGGTGAAAATAAAGTTTTCGTTAAATTTGTAACATCTTACAATGACACAATGAGAGAGGAGATAGTCAAGTCATGTAACATGGAAAAAGAGAAGCAAAATATGAGAAATATATCAGAAGAAGCGAATAAGAAGGAGGAATTAAAAAGAAAGGAATAACAACTAGTTATACTAAGCAATACCAAACGCTTAAGATATGCTTCGAGAAAACAGAGTGGAATATTACGTATGAAGGAATACTGAGATTCAAGATTTAGTGAAAGATAAAAAATGAATTAATTTGTACTCTTTTGAGTGATTCTGATTCATGTCACACAATATTTTTAATCATTTAAAGCAATTATCATACTGGCACTAACAAGTTGGTCTGTATCTACCAATATGGCTCAACCAGATGGATAGTGACTTCACAAACTGATGTCACATTTTAGTTTGTCCACTCAATCCATTAGCACTCTTTTAAGTTACTTCTGCATCAACTAACACCTCTTATCCGTATAGTAGATGGCTAGACATAAATAATACATGGCCCAACTGCCTCGATCAATGAAGATGAGCTATCTCATCAACCATTATCTAATACTGTTATGATTTTTTTATTAGGGTTCATCTAATATTATTGCTTGGTAGTCTTGGACACTACTTCACTCGACAAGTCCCCGAATAAAAATATGTTTGAACAGGAACGTAATTATAGTCAGAACAACAAGGTTGTATGAAAGTAGGAATCACAATAAGAAAAATGTCAGTATATTTATAATTTTCACTTGAGAAGATTCTAGAGTCTTCTTCAGTTATCCTCTAGCTCTGATTCCTTAAGAAATAGCCAATCAGTGTGCCTCAACAAAATCCTTCACGGAGCATACTTTAATTCAATCTATATCCCGCTGACGAATGCCCTAAACCGAAGATCAACAGAAAATTCAAAATTATCATGTGTTTAAAGATTTGGGTTAACATATAAGTAATATATGTTAATTTATTGTGTGTTGTTTCATCAGTTCCATTCATGAGACTATTTGTCCAACGGTATATTTCATATAAAATAACTATGATGGAAAAGCACTGCCAATTAGACGCTACATATTTAGAAATTTCAACATCTGATTTATGATAGATGGATTTTAGCATAAATTTTATACTTTGATCATTAACAATATATCTTAGGCAGTTGGAAGCCATAGACGGACATTCTCATGACGAAAGTTTTATCAAAATCAAAAAACGATCTAAATTAAACCACCATTGGAAATCTTGAGACATTGAACTACAGTTTTGTCCCAGTATTGAACTTCACAATAGCATTCACTCATGACATCACCGAGGATTAAACCCAGGATCTTAGGTTTCGCTCACGAACTCTACCAAGTTTTTAATTGTTATCTAACTTGACTCAGGTTGTAATTTTAATGAGGTAAGTAATGCTCACTTTGACTAAAACATCGATTGAAATGGGTTTAAGTAACACCAAAAGTACCGGCACCGTCAATATTCCAAATATACCTCCACACTGTAAATTAACTGATCAATACAATGAACTAGATCAATATAAGACTGTTATATGATCACTAAATAGTCATTATAACTATTAATGTACAAAATACAACATTATTAATTATTGATATATGTTAATCATTTAATAAACTTTACTAAACAGATCGAGTATATATCAATTCAACCAGGCATTTATTATCATTCTGTACCGAATATATCAAATAATGAAAAGTTTCATCAACTTATTCAATTTGACCGAATTGAAAAAGCTTCATCAGTAGATGAATTTTATTGTCAAATAATAACGGTAAGTTCCTTAAAATAGAAAAAGAAAACTTTTGACATTTATTTATATTTTAATCTAATTTATTTAATTATATGATATACTCAAACTAATTAATTCAACTATATTAGAGTATAGGCATCAGTTTGCAATTACCTCCGAATGCACTGGTACGATCAATGGTGGGGAGAAATTGCTCTCTTTTTCCAAATGCTTTCACATGACCACGCGTATACAGCCACTTCCACAAAAGTCCTACTAACTGCCTTCTCGTGGTGGGAGTGTTTACAAAATTGAGAGGATGAAAAGCGAATATCCGGGATGTTGGATAAGAAGAGTTCACATAAGGGAGTTGAAAACCCTGATTCCGAACCATTGGTGCACATGGGCTCCAGGATTCTGATGGAACAAAAGGCGTATGAACCCACTGTTGGCCACCGGTTGCCATGGGACTGCATCTCCCGACGTTGAATCACTGTTTTGTGGATCAGACCTTTAAGTCGAAGCCTCTGTGTGTAGCCTCCTAAGAAAACTTGTCAAAAGTGAGACAATATCCCATGATTAAAATAACGATGACGTTCCATTCCGAATACAATGATGTTACATTCACACATCATTATGATCTGATATAGTTCTCCCAAAGTATCGTGTTTTTCATGAGATTTGAAAGTCAATGATGCCTGAATTCACTGAGAGGGAGTGAAAAACTACTTTAGAACTAATGTCTAATTAATTAAAATGCTTGACTAAACACTATTTGGAATACTTAGCAAAGATTTTTCAACGTTTCAACATTTCATAAACACAAAATATTTCCAGTGCTTTTATAAAACTCAACTAGATTTATTTCCTCATTGCTCACACATTTTCGCTTATTACACTACACTACTCATCATTATTCAGTAGTATAGGTTTTGTTCAATCAATTCTGGAATTCATATGATCACCTATCACTTTGATCAGCTGCAACAAACTAGATATTCAATCTATCCATACTCTAATTCGACTGTTCCACTTTACTTTTCTGCTTGTGTCGGCATTTCATCCCCTCAGAATCACATATATAGATATATTTTGAATTTAACCTTCGTTAAATCATAATTTTAAGTCTTTTATTAAATTTAATGAATAGGAATTATTGAAATCACATGCAAAGCAATACTTTCAACATTATGAATCAGTGAATGGTCCAATTTCATTAGATTTCTATAAGTTTGCATTGAATTCATCTAATCTAACAATTGGAACACGTTTATCTCTTAATAGTCAATTAAATAAACATGATGGAGATTATCTGATAAATTGTATTCAAGTATTTTGGAATGAAATTGCACCACGTGTTATTGCTTGTGTTGATAATAATAATCTTGAACAAATTGTAAGTATTTTTTGTGTATAATAATTTGTGTATACTCATAGAGAAAATATAGTTATTCTCGAGTGGAAGCCTGCCTTTTGGCGAAATTCTCCAATTTTTGAACAACGAGAAGCGTATTACGCTCATATGATTTTGAGATGGTGAAGAAGATTTGTAGCTCAGGTGGATGATTTTGGTGGAGTTTTGTTCTCTTAACTGAAGTTCGTGCTGGTGATGTCGTTCAGAAGAACGATGAAAGCTCCACGACCAAACCATCCAGCTCAGAGAACAAAACTCCACCAAAATATGTGTATACATTATGATGAGTTAATTACATATACACTATGAAGATAAGTTTAGAATACGATTTTCCATAGTTGGGTCCAACTGAGTAGAACGAGGAATTTAATTCACCTTTTTTATCTCGAAGGATCAGATGAATATGTTTAACTGATACAATAGATGAGGAACTATTTTAACTTTGACAAACTCTTATTAAGAATGGTTATCCAGTTAGATTTGTTGATAACAACTTAACACTTAGACATCACCCTGAAAAAGCACTGACAGTACAAAGGAAAACTCTTTTTATAAATATGGAATTTAAAATTGTTGAATAAAACGTTCTACTCAGCTAGGCTTCGAATTGTTTTCTCAAGCCGGCCTACCATTTATGGATATGTTAAGGACAAACTTCCGCTTTGAGCTAGATCAGTGTGCATCTATAAAGTTACTTACTCATGTGGGAAGGTTACATTGGCCACAAAAAGCGATCACTTTCCAAACACATATCAGAACACTATCCGGCATGGCTTTTAAAAGGAGAATGCAAAACAATTACTAATTCAATACAGAAGCATTTAATCAACTATGGACACATAGCTCCAAAGGAGTCTTCTTTTAAAGTAATTAACACAGTCAAATGGACTGGATCAAAGAGAAGTCGAATCAAAATCTTATGCACTGCAGAGGCATTAACAATCCACGCACTTAAATCCGAACTTTGCGTGCAAAGACGATTAGTCCAACTTCCGAACATTCCTTTCGTAGAAAAGAACATTTTCTTCGCTGAATCCTCTTTATTTTTATTCAATGATACAATAGGTTATATTAAAATTAGAACAACCAAAGTTCAACTATTGAGTAACTTTGAACCAAAGTTTGGTTTATTATAGATGATTGAAAAATATATCCGAGGTTAAAATTTGAAAGATTTAACCGACCAGTAAAATATATGTACAACGTGATAACAATCTTTTTCAGTATGAGCAAAGATGGATGGTGACTGACATATGCCACATATGCCAATAAGAGACTAATCAATTGCAATCCTACACTTCATTTGGAAGATGCAAGTAAACAATACTAATGTGTGGACGAGAATGATAATAATTGATTGTTTGTTTAGTCAGACTTGTAGATAGTCTGATAGGAATTAAATGAGTTATACATTCTCCTATCCTTATTATTATTGGATCGTTGTTGGATTGTGTCGGTTTGTTGTCGATTTTGGCTGTGGAAATATATTTACGTTCTAGTCAGGCTAATCACATGTTTTTGATCTGAGTTGTGTTGAAGTCCTTTGGTACAAACACTGGGAGGGAATCTAGTATAGATATTCGTCTAAAGAAGATTAACCTCCCATTCGTAAGACGAAGAAAATCTGAGCGTTATAACAAATACTTCACCCCATCGCACAAGCAAGTGGCTATCGGGACTCAGTAGCTAAGTGGATAACAAGATCTCTCTTGACGAGAGTGGTACTGGGTTCAAGTTCCAGGGTGAACATTAACTCAGATGTAGGTGTATCCAGCTGATGAGTCCCAAATAGGACGAAACGCGCATCCTGGATTCCACCACTAGCCATTATCCATCTTTGCTCAGAATGCTTTTGAATTACGTCAATATCGAGACAATTTGCACAAAATGTACCTATTACCAATTAGAGACTGATCGATTGCAGTCCTAAACATCTATGGGAATTTAATGATACTTGAAGCTTTTCCTGATCATCATCATCATTCTTTGTTCTTTTTTTGTTTTGTTTAGTGCAATACAATCATATCAAGTGAATTAGTCAAAAATAATAATCTCGAATTAATATCTCAATTTTACTGGGATAAAATTAAAACAAATTTGTTAGATGGAGGACTCAGTAGAAAGGTTAGTTATATTGATAAATAAAGAAAAGAAAAAGAGATTTTCCTTGATTTCTGTATTCATTTGAATATTTGTGAAATATTAGGTTGACTAGTGATTGCATAACTTTTGATTGACCAATTGTGATCAGGATAGTTTTCATATAAATAGTTGCTTAATTCCTTAATATGCATTCACATAGTCATTTGGTATTTCTGAGTTCTTTGAGCTAGATGATTTAAGTGGAGAGCTTTCATTGTTATTGTGACTTTATCACGTGATTTATCCGCCAATCGGAACACGATTTATTCAATCTAAGCACTGTGCCAAGCCAATGATGTTGAACCAATATGAACAGCCTAGCTTCCTTATTGTTCCTTTCTTCTCCAAACCCATCGAATTGAGTCCAGAACGACAATAAAAGTTCGCACTATGAGAATCATTTATTCCAAACATATTTGGTTTTCATAGCAGTCAAACAGACCGCATCAGACCATAAAATAGGAAATAACATTTATACACAATAAAGCCGAAATGTGACTGTGAACGTGGGAGACGGTAATCAATAAACTGAACATAACTTGAGAACAGTAAACCATATAATAATAATAATCTATAGGTCAAAATGAACCTTATAATAAGATGAATATAAATAAACACAATCTAAATACTGAATAGTTATACCATAGGAATATATAGATAATATTAGTCCATTAATAGGTCTCAGAAGTTACTCGTAATTTAATCTTCGCTAGGATATAACAATTGTCATTGTGGACATTTTCAGAGACTACTTCATATAAAAGTGGACTTTCTAGTTATTTAATAAATATTATATTGTATCATTTTGATGGCCTTATTCATGATTGATTGTCTTCATTTACTTTTAGACTTATGTTGATTATCAGTAATGGTTTACTTCTGGTTTTGTAACTGATTATGTATTATATTGATTGTTTATTGTTATCAGTAAATGACTTGATCAGAATTTGGATGTTGATTGCTTAAACGAAACTATCAATTCTGTAGCAGTACTCATTATAAAACTTTATCAGAACAATAGATTATGATGTGTTATATTCTCTGATTTTAACAAATGCCTTACCCCCTTCATTCATATACCAGTTTTAATAATATCAGCTCATTCACCTACTCGTAACAGTAATTTTCATTACTCAATATTTATTTTCAGCAATTATTTATACTCTTAGTTGATACAATTGTTTTTGATGGAGTTTTGTTCTTTGAACTGAATGGTTTGGTTGTAGAACTTTTATCGTTCTTCTGAATGACATCATTAGCACAAAGTTCAGGTAGAAGTGTATGTGTGTGTGTGTGTGTTACATCGGATTTCAATAAATATTCCTATTTAAAAACAATAAATATGAATTAAGTTAAGAAATATTGTTTTCAATTAAGTCATTTTCATGTATTTGACGTGTTCTTACGACCTGAGAATATAACACGTGATAAAAGTCGCCAATGAGAACATCGAATTAGTGTACAGATCACAGACGTATAAACCAGCCCACAAAGCAGCCCATAGTCAACTCTGAGTTATTATTGCTCCTCTGACGAGATAGTAACTTCTCGTCTAATCAAACCGGTTCAGTTCAGAACACTAATATCAGTCTCCGTTATATTAATTATGTATTTCAGACATACGTAGTTCATATACAAGTAAATCAGACCTTATCATACCATAAAATTGAAGACGATATTTGTACAAAATCAAGTCAGAAAGTGTTTTTAATTGTGAGAGACTGTAACTAATAAACTGGGCATAACTGAAGAATAGTAAATTGTATCAGAATCGTCAATAGGTCAAATGTGAGGTTATAATAAAAGGAATATGAATATACATGTAATAAGAATATATATGTATATAGTAACAGTGGATAAATAGATCCTAGCAGCTATCATCCATTTATTGTTTGTTATATTAATATAAAGTCTCTACATTGATATTATGTCAACTGGACGACCACTGATGGTGTTATTCTTTACCTTGTAATTAATTTGTGAAATAAGCTTTTGGATTTCGGCTCTCTGACATTCCACTATTTGAGGATTGTAAACTTATAAGTGTTTCCTATGTTTTCCTTATATCTTTCATGCTGTTTGAACATCTATTTTTACTAGTTGAAGAGTTTTGTTGAGTTCTCCCATCCAACCGATTCACCATGAACGTTCTTATCTTTTGATTAACTAGCAATATAGATAAAGCAAACTAAGTTTTTAGGGTAACTTTTATTTTAAAAATCCAAATAATCTTATTTGTAAATTGTGTGCATGTATAATTGTCCTAGATATGGACCCTTGAAGGATGATGTTGACAGGTTGAATATTTAATCTATTCACAATAGCTATCCCAAACCTGTTTCTTACTTATTTGTAACCTTGACACAATGTATGATTTGTCATGCTTTACCAACTATGCTAGTTTCTGTATATAACATAATCACTGATTACGAATTTTTGTGTGGATTCTACACATGACCTAAATTCCTTTAATCTATTCTGTTGAAAATAATCTGTTGAATTGAGCTATAATGCTTTGTAGAGCTGAAGGTCTCATATGAGACTGGAGGTTCACCATTGGTATTGTGGATGATTCGACATTACTTTGACAAGTTTTGCTAACTGTTCATAGGCAAAATTGGTTTGTTGGTTAACCGATTTCATTCATACTAGTGGTTGCTTTTCAGTGTTCTCAAGGGTCACTGTCATTGGGACATTGTAAAGCATATAACCATTGCTAATATTAATGAGTTTGCCTGTTGTGTAAGCGAAATATGTCAACTTTGGCCTGTTCATTCTGTGCATAATTGATTGACGCGATCAGTGGTCGGAATAATTATACATGTGATGTAAATATATATATGAATCATGCGAATAGTCCACCAGGGTGCTAGATGCATGTGTGGTTACGCTACAGGATTGAGCTGTACTATTACAATTATAGCGTTAAAGCCTATACGGTGTCTGGCTCTTCTGCGAAACGGGATAGAGTTGTACCGTTTGAGTTGTCACGTGAAAGTCTGGATAGTGTCCGGTTCTCATGGAAATCAAGATAAAATTACTCTGGCCCACAAGGGTTTATTATAGAACTGCGATTATGTTTCAATGTTTACATTTTTAGTTGATTTCATCCCAGAAATATCATATACATTACTTGTGGTTACTAATATGTAAGTACAAATTTTCGTTTCTTTTCTTCTCTCTTTTCATCAAACAAATTACAGAATATGTTAAAAAGAGAAATGAACCGAGAGAAATTACTAGAATATTTCCATAAAACCTATTTAAATCCTATGAAGAAAACTACCATATTTATTGACGTAAGTTGTACTGATGACATTTTTGTCATAGAAGAAGGGTATTATCTAATTAAACGAATATCAAGGCATATCTTAAGCTTCAGTTTCGTTTGATTTTCTATTGGTCAATAAACTAAATCTTTAAAATTGTGAAGGTTAATGCTGTCCCCCCCTTCGACTAGAACTTTTATTACTAAGAGTCAAAATTAGAAACATAAGTTGGGTAAAATATTTCAGTAGTGTTATTTCTGACTAGGATATTAGGTGAAAGGGATTCGAATCACACAGAAAGTATAGATGGTATCAAGATTGTAGGGAAGATTTGCTGGTTAATGTTAATTTCAATGAAACTTTGATAAGACCTCAATACAGATTATAACTAATTATCTAAATATGTGGAAGGCGAGTAATAAATCAAACAACAATAGTAAATGATGGATTGAATTAGTTAGAAAAATTAGTTATGAAAGAAACGAAATATGGTATTGGGACGATACTGTGGAATCTCATATATTGAGCGCTAAAAGTTAATGTGAAGATATTATATTTGTATGATAATGGAATCCAGAATGCACGTCCCGACCGATTCGGAACTCATCCCAGATTTGATGTTCCGACTAGAACCAAAACCCAATATCATTCGCTCCAAACACCCAAACGTGTTATCCATTGAGTTACCGAGCTAAGATACTCATAGGCTTGATCAACCGGAATGAAAGTATCAGGAAGAGTTTGTCTTTTGTTAATTGCCAACCCTATATCAAATACATTAAAGCTTATAACATGACCCTATACCGAGGCAATCTTCTCCGGATCCCTATATGACAACATGGGCTGTTTGGTTACAGTGCTGAATATCAATAATGAGAATCTACAAATACTGACTAATCGAGGGATAGTTTACGAATTATGAATCCTGTAGTTAAAAATACTAAAACTATAAATAACAGTAATAATTTCTACTATAAATAATGATTACGGAACGTACATCAACTTCCAGGCATTAAATGTCAGATACAAATCACTGAATGGTTACCCTGTAAGGATATGCAAAGTGAACCATGTGATCATTTAGCTTCCGAATTTCATATCCAAAGTACATAATGTCGGAAAAACTCGATTCTTCTGACTTCACATAATAACAAAAGACTGACAGATATTTGTCTAATCCTTCTTTTCTAAGTCATGGCGTGGATGAGATATCCATCAACAACCAAAAGATCAGTATATACTACTCAACAATTTGTTCTGTTTAGCGTTATGATTATAAAACGTGGTCTTTAAAAATAGAGAATATATGTAAGATACTAGTATTTGTTCACAGATATCTTCAAAGTAGTGTTCGCGTATGTTAAGATCACTGAATGACTAATGCTGGTGTTATATCCACGGTACTATGTAAGGTTGACAAATCAGTTGATGAGATAACGAATCTTCACAAACTGAGGTGTTTAGAACATGTGATATGCATGCCCAACTATCACCTACCTCGACGAGCTACGTTTAATATTTAAGAACTAGGTTAGCAGAAAATCAGGAGCACACAAAACAAGATGTGTGATCTGTTTATGACATTTGGCCTGAAACATGTTGATAGGTTTAAACTATCTGGTTGACTTTTAAGCAATATATACAACTAGTTACTTAAAAATTTGGGTGACATGACTGAAAACCAGTAGCAATAAAATAAAACCATTTTATATTTATCTTCTTTAAGATTCTGGATTTAAAACTTATATTTTTCAATCTACTAATGAATTTAATCTCAAATCATGTTGTCTGTAACTGGTACTGATACGCTTATTACTAATATCTTTATGAATTCGTCTTGATAATCTCTGTTCGCAGTGTTGGTATTACTTTGAAAATTGAACTAAAGAAAATATATATCTCAGGTTTCATGTGGTAAAGTGATGTAGTTAGGTTATGGAGCGGATCGGAAAAGCAAGAGCAGTATATCTACAACTGAAAAACACCTGGAACTCCAAATAACTGTCAATCAACACCAAAGTCAGAATTTTCAATACAAATGTCAAGACAGTTCTGCTATACTGTGAGGAAACTTGAAGAACTACGAAAGCCATCATACAAAAGATACAAGTGTTAAATAACAGTTGTTTATGCAAAATACTTTGGATCCAGTGGCTAGACACTATCAGCAACAATCTATTGTGGGAGAGAACAAACTAGATCCCAGCGGAGGAAGAAATCAGGAAGAAGTACTGGAAGTGGATAGGACACACAGTGAGCAAAGCACCCACCTGTGTCACAAAGCGAGCCTTCACTTAGAACCCTCAAGGCCAAAGGATGAGAGGAAAATCAAAGAACACATTACTCCGACAAATGAAAACAGATATGAGCAGAATGAACAACAATTGAATAGAACTAGAAAGGAAGATCCAGGAGAGAATGGGTTGGAGAATGCTGCTCGGTGGCTTATGCTCCGTTGGGGAGGGTGTAATAGGCATAAATAATGAGTATGTAATTAGATATGAAAATAAGAAGCCCATGACCTTCATTGTATTTTCTCTATTTACTTTATGAATTTTTAAATTTCCATTAATTTAATACTTTAAGTTTGTTAATCATAATCAAAATCTCTCTGATTTTCACTTGTTCCAGTTTAGGAATATAGAATCTAATGAATTCATCAAATCAATGAATATTACTAAAATAAACGGAACAAATTTTAATCCCAACTTAAATTCTTATTTAAAAGATGAAGATCTTATGAATACATCTAATGAATTTTCTAGACAAACATCAAATGATTTAAGAACAATACAAAGGATTAAAACAATAAAACGAATTGAATCATTCCGAACGGAGTTTAATAATTAGGCTAATCATCATTTACATAAATGTAATAAACAAACTATTCATAACCATTGATCAATTGAACTGGGTTCTTTTTCTCCATTGTTAAATTATTTCTTTTCATTTAAATGAACAAATGGAATTTGTCAATTTTCATTATTTATTATTGACAGTTGAACAAAATGACTTTTTTTGCATGCGCCCGCGCGCGTGCGTACGTACGTACCTGTGTGTATGTGTGTGTGTAATTTTTACCTATAATTTTAAATGAGAACAATAATTATAGCTTTACATTAGTTGTTGCTTTCATAATCAAGGGAAATTTAGCTCTTAACAACACGACCATGTTAGATCGTTTGATTTCTTTAGCTTGTGGTAGTGTCGAGTCGCAGTTGAATATGATCATCAGTACAGATCGATTACGTGCCAATTACCAGGTCAAATCCCTCCGTAGGATAAATATTAAAAGGACAGTTGTAGATTGTAGTTAGGATATATTTGCTGGTGATCTTGTGGTATCTAATTTATACCGAGGTCGTGCCAAAGTTTACAGGCGATACTACCGTGCGTACGCGAGTAAGTTCATGGTCACAAACAACGGAAAAGTGTGTTTTTGGTACTATTCAACAAAATGATACAGTAAAGCAATCACTGGTACAGTTGATGATAATAATAAATGCTTCCATCACACCAATTGCGTTCTCTTCATAAAAGTAGATCACTATAAGCTAAATAATTTTGTACAGGTAAAAGTTCATTCATTCTTCACATATCCCTAGTTTCTTTGAACGATGAATATCAATTGTATGTAAAGCCTTAAATTGTTCATTTCTACTATGAACGTGTCATAAAACATTAAAACTATATGTGTAGGTTTATTTTAACGGACAATTAAACAGAGAGTTCATATCTAGAGGGAAAGTCTTTATTGCATTTTCAAAAGCAATCACACATACTTCTACAGTTTTCATCCAAACAATTATCCGAGCACCTTTCAGAATGACTCTGATTATTCAGAGAGTAGAAACCAGTTTTATATTGATGTCGCGTTTTTCAATGACATAACTCTGTCGTTAAGACTGAAACCAAGCCACTAAACCAAGTTGTTTATGATGTAGCATTTGATGGCTGAAGGCAGTCAACAGGAAGTCTTTAGTTTGTCGTTAGAGTTAGCTGATGCTCACTCAAACTTTGTTACCGCATTCTAATGCTTTCGGTGAAATTCAAATATCCACATTAACCAATAAACTGTTTCTTTCAATTCAAAACCAAATTGGAAAAATTTAATCTTCTGATATTAGCTATTTATATAACATGAAATTGGAAAGAACAGACTGTTTTGATTCTTATTAGTTCCAATTATTGTGTGACAAAAAAACAAGGCCAAGCTTTAGTTGTAATGCACACTTTCTACAATCCATTTTGATGAGTAATTGTGCAGACGTAGTGATAATTAGTACTAGTCACGATGAGATTAGTAATTGTAATTCTGTGGCATTTATACTAACTAGATGTTCCTTCCTACTTGAGTAGGCGCTTATTACAAATTACATATATAATACATCCAAATGTGTTCATCCAGTTCTGCCTACATTAAATTGCACTATTTCGGTAATTTTTAGTTAACACATTAATTAATTCACAAATTTTGATTATTATACAAGGTTAGTCTTTTATTGATACTTTTGGGGACCTTGAGTACTTGATAACACTGTGTTCTGCCTAATCACCATCCATTATTATCGTTGCCTATAAATACTGTGTTCCGTTTCAACTGTGTTTTATTATCAATGCATATGGTTTTCTACTTTTCATGTTGATGGAAAGAGTTGATATTAACTGATTTTGAATCCATTTAGCCACATGTTTCATAACACTTGATTACAATGCTTAACTAATCCTCCCTATGTACGAGTGTTCACGCAAATTCATCACGTTTTTCTGATAGACTCCATCTTTTCATTCCTTTGTCGAAATTCGTAAAAGCGTGATGATGTCACAGGTATTCAGTGTTTGACAACGCTTCTACCAGTAACACCTTCTAATATATTTCGTTCCCACCCAGAGAAATCAAAAGACAGAGTCGAGGAGATCGGAAGAGTGTATTTGGCGATGACCAATATATCGGAATTCTCTGATCTAATCTGGCTAGCGATTGCGGTTGATGTTGAGCACGGCGTTACCACACGTGATCTGGTGCGGATGCCTGACCGAGCGCCTTCAGCTAGATGAGTCCACTAAAACATATGGTCAGCATCCAATGTCGAAAACTTAGAGCTATTTATTTTGGGGATTTATTTACCGCTACAGATCACTACCCCCCCTAGTGGGGCAGTGACGACCCTAAGACGTGGCCAGCCAGAAGTTTAAACCCAACGAGTTTGTTGTTGGTAAACACTCTTCTGATAGCTTACTAAGTGTAGCAGCGTCTGGTCGTCTTTCCTTACTATATGGGACCGAGGTACAACATAGTAAAAAAAGAAAAAGTTACAACGAAAATTTCGACTCCTCGTAAACTGCATCGTTCTTTTCCAGCCGTCCTGGAAAAGAAAAAAGAAGGTGTAAGTGCATGTCGAAATACACTCGTATGTGCGTAAAAACACAATGTCGGCGAAAAAAAATGGAAAATAAACTCGAGCACACGTAATAGCGTTAAAAAAATAATTTTTCGTTTATTTTGTTTGTTTTTTTCAATAAAAAGATAAATATATAGGCATATTAAAATTGTTTTTAAAAAAAATTATATATCGTAAAAAGAAAAATCGAGATACTATAAAATGTCGAGTAGTGCCTTACGTGCAGTAGTCGTTTAAATGTTCTGGAAATCTTACTCTTCTTCCAGAACGCGTCGTTTTAGGTATATTTTCAGATACATTCGGAGTATCATCGCTTGTGTTGGTTGTCGGTTGAGGAATTATTAGTGCAGGAGTTGTGTTGTGAGATTGTACCGAAGGGAAATAGACGTAGATAGGGTTTCCTTCTAAATACGCTGCTTTTAAGCGATCGATGCTGATGCTATCGTTTGTTCCGTTCTTATCGATTATATAGTACTTAGATTCACGTTGAAGAACTTTGAAGGGTCCTTCATATGCTGATTCGAATGGTCGTCGATGCGAGTCTCGACGAACGACAACGTGTGTACTATATCGTAAGTCAGGTTGAACGAAAACACAAGTTGATTGAGGTCGAGTGGAAGCAGGTTTAACTGTACGCATTGCGTTTGTAAGCTTGTTCGTGTAGGGGTTAGATCCATGTTCATTGAACAGGATGCAGGATCCACGAATTCTCCTGGATGTCGAAGTGTCGTTCCATAAACGACTTGAGCCGCAGTGTATTCAATGTCAGCTTTCACTGCATTGCGGATACCTAGTAGGACGAGTGGAAGAGCGTCCGTCCACTGTAAAACGTTTGCAGCTGATAGTGAAGCTTTTAGTTGTCGGTGAAAACGTTCTACCAACCCGTTTGCTTGTGGGTGGTGGGCAGTCGTTCGGAAGCGAGTGCTTCCTAATAGTGTGGTCAGACGACGGAAAAGTTCAGATTCAAACTGACGTCCGCGGTCTGTGGTGATGGTTGAAGGGCAACCGAAGTTTGCTACCCATCGTTCGACGAAGACGCGGGCCACTGTTTCAGCAGTGATTTCCTTGATAGGTACTGCTTCTGGCCATCGAGTGAAACGGTCTACGCAGGTTAAGAGGTAAGAGTATCCATTTGAATCTGGTAAAGGTCCTACCAAATCCAGATGAACATGGTCGAAACGAGCGTCGGGAGTTTTAAATGAGCCTAAGGGACATTTATTGTGTCTGATAACCTTAGATTTTTGGCAGCTTACACAGGAGCATCCCCACTCCCTCACGTCTTTATTCATGCCAGGCCAGCAAACCCGTTCTGCTATAAGCTTGATGGTTGCACGAACACCTGGATGCGAAAGTTTGTGCAATTTGTTGAAGACATTGCGTCGATAATGTTTCGGCACGATTGGGCGATCCCTACCTGTAGATGCGTCACAAAGTAAGGTTTCGTTACCTGTCCCCATCTGTTTGATGCGTAGTTTTAGGGTTGTGGACGATAACTCGTGCTGAAGATCAGTGTCTTCTTTTTGAAGCTCGGCGAGTTTCAGAAGGTCGATTCCTTGGAAACTGTTCAAGGAACTTATGCGAGATAAAGCGTCTGCAACTACATTGTTTGCTCCAGAGATGTGTTGAATATCTGAAGTAAACTGCGAAATGTAGTCCAGTTGTCGAGACTCACCCATTGTTGTAAGACGCCTCCGATTGCCGAGTCCGATGCGTCTACTGCGATACTAATGGGTGCTTCAGTGTCCTGATGTGCGAGCATTGTTGCTTTAGCAATCAGTTCCTTAACTGTGGTCGGTTCTGGGTAATCCAGAATGGCCGCCACTTTGGTTCTAAGGGGTCGGATACCTTGAACATCGATAGTGTGTCCCAGAAATATAGCGAGGAATTGTGAACGTGTATCGATCACGCCGTGCTCGGAGAAGTCGGCTTCTGCGTAACAGAACCAGGCTTCGATGTTGTAGGGCCAGAAAGGCATCAGTTGAAACGAAGGCGAGGACAAAGTCTTAAGCTTGAGTACTTTAGGTGTCTGTTCAGTCATGATGAACTATGAAGGACGATAATGAACGAGGGGAAAAAATATATATGTCCAAGAAAAAACACGAAAAAAATCACAATGTTTAAAAAAATAAAAAATAAGGCAATGATATATGAAAATCCCAAAAAGGAACAGACTCACAGTTGCAATTAGGTGTACCAGATCACGTCGGTCTCACCGATGATAATGTCACAGGTATTCAGTGTTTGACAACGCTTCTACCAGTAACACCTTCTAATATATTTCGTTCCCACCCAGAGAAATCAAAAGACAGAGTCGAGGAGAACGGAAGAGTATATTTGGCGATGGCCAATATATCGGAGTTCTCTGATCTAATCTGGCTAGCGATTGCGGTTGATGTTGAGCACGGCGTTACCACACGTGATCTGGTGCGGATGCCTGACCGAGCGCCTTCAGCTAGATGAGTCCACTAAAACATATGGTCAGCATCCAATGTCGAAAACTTAGAGCTATTTATTTTGGGGATTTATTTACAGCTACAAAGTTATCCTCTAATAATGGACCAAGTGGGGACCATATTGCTATTCCATACTTCTGTCTATGAACTACGTCGATGAATGTAAAGCGTACATAGTAAGAGCTCCTTAAAATAAAGTCATGGCATTCTGTCGTTAATCTCATTACTATTTACGTACTTGCAAAAGAACTAATGGTCTCTGTGAG